ATAAGTGTCATCCCCTATTATACTTTACTCATTATCAATAACACAATAATATTAGCTTTATATCATATCAATATTATCTTTTTACATTTACTCTCCTTACATATATTTTTAACTTTAATGTGTTAATGGTGGATGATATTTTTCATATTTTGTGAATGAAGAATGAAAGTTATCAATGAAGTAGAGATAGATGACAACAAGAAAAGCACAGAAATTTTTACTAGTTTCTTATAATCTAAATTCTTTGTGAACTGTACATTGAACAATATCACTAAATGCACAAGATGAATAACTGTTAAAAGATGGGAATTTGGTTTCTCTTTTTAAAATCCCACTATATCCTTGAATTACTACATCTTTGGGAAGCATGGGTAGAGGTCCATGGGTAATGTTGTCAGGACAGGAAAAGAACAATTAAAGCCACCCTCCCTCGAATATATTTTCTAGTAGCCTATATCACCCATGTCATTGTTTAAATGTACCAGTTGTTGTAATATGTGTGAACAAGATTCTATGTCTAAGAGAAAATTGGCCTTATTGACCTAATGATCAGTTCAGACCATTACACTGAAATTAAGCCAAAGGTATTATTGAGGGATAAGAGGATTCACCTACCTGAGTATCGACTAGAGGCAGGTGGTGTCCAGGTGGACAGACCATATGTTATTAAATTATTAAACAGTTGGCCACTATAATCATTATTATCTTCATTGTATTAACTTCTTCAATATTGCACGCGATAATCTCGCCGACACACACTACCACCCGTTCGCCTTCATACAAGATAACATATCTTCATTGTTCCCTCTTTTAGAACATATCCTCCAGTCTTCCGGTAGCCGTGACCTTTACCAGTACAAGAGTGCGTCTCTTCAGGCCTGCACATTTTTTTAAAAACTCATTGTTTTAATTGATGTGATCCAAAAAAAACAGTTCCGCAGAAGCAAGGATGAATAAAGCGAAATTAAACAAATGACCTTCAACAAGGTCATCTGAAAAGATCTCTCGCCAAAATTCATTAAAGCTAACGTGAACCAGAAAACCCGCCAAAAAACAACAGAATGAAATAAAATATTAAACTGTACATCATCTGAACATAATAGTATGCAATACTTTTATGTGTTGTTGATATAAGAAAAATATGTCTGCCAACTGATGGACTTGAGGAAAGAGTCAGAAATTTGGAAGCGCCTTTATTTTACTCTCGCAAGTGAACACCTTCAAGTTCCTTGTTGTGTCTTAATACTGAAAACCTGTAGGCAAGGGAATTGATAGGTAATTAATTGGTAAACATAACGAAATCTCTTATTAGACAATGTAAACTAACACTTGAAAACATGATGATGTTTTGAGATTTGAGAGAGAAGTGCTTGAAGCAAACTAAACGTTTATTGATTGAATGGGAGCCGTCAGATGGTAGAAGTTGTACCGCCAGTGGACAACAAAACCCTCTATAGATTCTTAGTGTTATTCCTCACTTGTAACACAGGTTAATTTCTCACATTAATCATTCAAAATATAGATTTCCATTGATGCTTTAGGTGTCTAGTTGTCGTTTGAGTGGTATACAGGTTTACATCATGCCATAATCGACATATCTGAGAAATGCACAACCCTTCCCGTCATATCATCTCTTCTTTGGCGTCAAGCATTTTTGTTTTCTCGTCTCACGCGCGGGATCGCACCACGTGTGGAATTTGTTTCAATTTCTCATGAATGGAAATTAATTCTTGTCAGAAATGTTTCAATCCTTCTTATATGTACTATTGGATTGAATTGATGAAAAAATATTGTTCATTGATAAATCAATTGAGAACATCTGTTTTTACTTCCACACAATATTCCATCATCTCTGAGAAAAACTTCCAAGTTGCCAGCTCCGTCGATATTCAATTTCAAACCTATAACAGAATGTAAATATGATTCCATAAACTGGTTGCATTAATCAAATTTATTCTGACACTATAAAGGAGAAAATTCGGAACCTAGAGTAGGGCTATATGTTCAGTGGTACACGTGTTCTGGCAATAATTTTGGTATAGAGTTTTATAAGAGAAACTCTCTTGTAGAAGCACTGGTCTAGGTCAGAAGTAGGGACTGTGAATTACAGCATTGGAATACATCAATTTAATACAAAATTACCTACTTCTGGTGAAATTCAAAAAACCCAATTGTTTCTTTAGTATAATTAGGTTATCAAAAATGGCCTACACGTAATCATACCATGTCCAAATTGAGAGAGTTAAAGAGAATGCCAATAAAACTAAGATGGTGAAAATCAGGGGCGTATAATGACTGGAGTCTCCCAGAGCCTCATCATATACAGTTGCACTTCGCAACAACTTTTGTGTGAAATAAGCACATATTTAAACATCATGGTTCCAATATTTTTAATTTGATCCCCAAAGAAACCATTCACTTATGTCGATGCTTGGCTCTATTACAATAATTTCAAGAACTTACTGGTCTGCACCCTTATTATAACCGCCTTCCACTACTTTTGTTCTACTGACACGAACATACTAGAATATCGAACATTAATAGATCTATCTGATGCCCAAACGAAAAACGCCCTTTCCTGAATTTTATATTGTGGATGGGCAGAATGTCTATGATTCCCACTTTTCCAAAATAATCAGGGACGAATAGTTTGAGTGGTTCTAGACAGTGGCAGAGCCAGTTTTACTTCCTAAAGGGTGTGGGAGAGGGGGGGGGGGTGGTTAATATCTGAGGTCGCCAGAATTTCTAACCTAGCTAAAAGATTTTTGCCCGAAAAACATGTCCTCGGGTCTATTCGGCGGATGACCCCTCTGCCCCCTTTGGGCTCTGCCACTGGTTCTAGATAGGGGTATAGGAGTGTTTTTTTCACTGGTCACCAATCCTTAGTAAAGTACATGTGTTCTTACAGACGCCTCAGATGAAAACCAGATATACAGATTTAGACTTTCTGAAAATTTCATTCCTTCATCAGAATCATTCTGGATAAATGAAAGAATGATTCGCCCCTTGTTTACCATTAGACTATCAAATTTGTGTTAATATCATCACAACCCAACAATTATAAATGGGAAGAAATTAATTTGAGTAGCAGCTGTATGACACAGCTGTGAATCTTCCTTTTCTCAATTTTAATCGATATTTATCTCAAATTGTCAAAATTTTCCTATTCTGAATGTTTTTCTTTTGGTTATGGGGCTTCAAGTTTTCGATAGTAAGATCAATATGTTACTTCCTAGCCCTTTTTTGTTTACAATTTAAAATTATATATTATTATGCAGAGATTTCCAGACGCATTAACTTTTGATGATTGTTGCTGGGAATGGGTAAAGGGACGTAACTACTTTTTGTTATATCAGCCAACAAACAACTGATATCTTCTGTACAGCACTCTACTTCGTTGCATATCAAATGGTTCCAAATGGATTAATATTTGGTTAAAGGCAATTAGAATTTTACACAGACTTATCCACTGCTCATAGACACAGTATACTCATACTTATAATGAAAGATTAGGCAATGTTTTACTTCACTTCAAAATCTGCTTCAACTGATATTTGAACACAAAACCCCTAAGCAAGTGCTATGCAAGGCCACCCAGACCTAGGGCTCAAAGTTAGGGTTAGGGTTAACTGGAAGGTAACCTTTTATTTTCAAAGTCAACTAGGGTAAGCTCTGGACAGGGTTCTATTGAGTCCTTCCCGCACAATATCTATGCTTCGCCGTGATGCATGCGTAAAGGGACATGACTCTTAAAATCGGACATCAAGCAACTGATCTTTTTGAGAGTATCAAGTCCTTCTCTCCTTCTGTGATATCAGCAACAATTTTAACTTGTCATCTAGCAATCAACCATGCAAAGAAACCATTAGCGCAATATAATTTGCAATAAACAGAATAAGTAATATGTTTGCTTTTTGGTTTAATGTCATTAATCCTTAATTTGTCAATAAATCATATCAACTCATATAAAATATCATATAGCATACAAAAAAAAATATGCTAAATATAGGCAAAAATTCAATAACTTATAAATAAACCAACTTATATATACAAAAATAGATTTAAATAATGCTTAAATAACCTTCATTAATTTACAGTTAAAGGCCAAAAACCTTGATACCAGTAAGATTATGAAGAGATCAAAACACGTTGCTCTATTTCCACCATGTTCCTTAAGCAACCGATTGCAAAGCAATTAGACAATCTATCATTGCTTAACGAACATGTGTTTCCACTGAACTAAACTTTCCCCCTAACTGCACAACAATTTTTATTGCTGGTATGATTGTTATTATAATCATAATCTTAAAATAATAAAATATTTTCACTCTTAAAAGAGTGGGGCGATATCTGAGTAACAACATGATTCAAGTTCTTATTCAATATTTCTAATTATAATCTTAAGCATTCTTAAGTCAGTACTAAAATTGGCTGAAGTTATATTTCCACTGAAATATATCAAAATGAGAAAAGCTAATATTACATAGATATACAGCTAAAAAGATATTATGGACGTCTTAAACGTCCGGCTGGGATATCATACCATTGTAACAGCTCCATTTGATCTCTACAGATATTTAGTGGACAATATGATTTTGACTAAAGTTATTCAATTTCAGAATGAAAATTATCAGTAAAAAAAATTACCAATGCATAAGTTAACAATTAAAAAACCGCAGTTATTCTTGTTCCTACCTTGTTAGCTCTAATCAAGGTTGAAATATGATCTGATTACAATCAGAAGGGGGGATAACTATAGTTTGTGCATCAGGTTCTGTAGGGATTGTATCTTGTTCTAACAATGTATGATAAGTCACATAGTTGACTGTATTTCCCTCAACATCAGTTGAACTAATAACTAAATTACCCTGCTGTATAGCTGATTCTAGTTGTTCTGAGTCAATCACAAAATTAACAGTACTGTCTTCTTCGTGCTCTTTCTCTGTCATCAAATCTTCTTTCTTAGTTCGATTTGTAGATGACGGTATTCCGTGTAACTTTTGTTGATGTCTTTGTAAATGATGTTTATGTCTAAATGAATATTCACATATATTGCACATAAACTGTCCAGTAGTTGTATGAGATTTGACATGAGCTTGACATAAAACTTCTTTATTAAATCTCCAAGTACAGCCTGGATATGTACAACCAAATGGTCGACTCATGTCATGCACTCTTTTATGTTTCTTTAAGGTAGAATTATCTAAGTAGGCCTGGCCACAAACATCACATAGAACACTACCATGATTATGTAATTGTCTATGAGCATGAATTAAAGAATTAACACTAGAACTAAAACTACACTGAGAGCATTTAAACATTTTTGGTCTATGTGTTCTTCTATGGGCTTGTAAATAATTTTTCGTTTTAAATGATTTACCACACTCATCACACAAAAATTTACTTTCTGTTTTATGAGTTTCCATGTGTTTTCTTAAATATCGTAATCTATTGAATACTTTGTCACATTTAGAACAGGTAAATATACCAGGTCTATCTTGCATCTCAACTCCTCGAAACTTTTTCTTCTTTTCTTTTGATTCGCGTAAATCAGCAAAATATTCAGACATTCTCATTAGTTTTTGATTTGAATCTAATTTTGGTGATTTGATTTCTATATATTGATGTATTGCCATCATGTCCACATGGTTTTGAGACATATGCTTACATAGAGACATTCTCCAACTGGTTTTAAAATCACAATGAAGACATTTAAAGCCATGTTTCTCATAGGAAAACTTTTTACCCTGTTTGTTATTATTCATAAATATAAAATGAAAATCTTCATCTTCCACTAGGCTGTTGGAATTGTTACTTTTCATTGGTTTTGATACATTAATTGGTTCTGATTTTATTACTATGTCAGTATCAGGAAGTATGATCTTCTGCTCTGGTATTTCTTCTAACGATCTGGTATTTTCTACCTGGGCCATGTCTTGTATCTGTTGAGGTAGAGATCCAGAATCTATATCAGCTGGTCCTTGATTTATAACATCAATAACATTATTAATATCTTCATTAGTTTTAGTAATAACAACATGTATTGTATTCAACTCATTGTTTGAATCAAGAGAATGATTTTCAGTTGATGTGTCCAAGCTTACTGCAACTTCTTCCCCCTCCAGTCTAGCTATAGTTGTTACTATTTCCTCTGTTTCTATATTAGATGGTGTGTCTATAACTTGTTTACGATTACTCTTTATAAATCCTTGTCCTTCAATAAATTCTACACGATGTTTCTTCTTATAATGATCACGTAGGAAACATTTTTGGTTGTAAGATCGGCCACACAAAGAACACTCAACTGGCTGACCACTAGCTGCATCTAAAAACAGTAAGTGTAAGGTATTAAGCATTTCTTATGAAATGACTAACTGATACATAAATTATGTGTATTGTTTCACTTAAATTACAGAAAGAGAAGACAAAGCTTGTTAAGTAAGCAAAAACAAATTCCTAAAGTAGATAGAAATATACACTTACGTTTTATTTTATGATTTATAAAAGAACAAAGACTGTGAAAAGATTCTCCACAAATTCCACATTGAAAAACATCAGAAGCATAAATGTGACCATTTACTATAGGATGAACAAGTTTCTGAATTCCTGAAGCAAAAAATTTACATATAAATTTAAGTTTACTTTATGATGATACTTATTTTCAGATAATAATAATAGTGGAATACATTTGACTCTCCAAATAAGATCTACTTGTAAAACTCATTGAAAATCGTCTTCTATAAAATTAACTTGTGTATTGCCTTTAGGATCATTTTTTTTCACTTCACAAATCCAATCATTTAATTGATCAATGAGTACCTGCTTGCAGACTTTTAGAAAGTAGAAGTGAGGAAGTGGAGGTTGTTAACAATTGACCGATTCAGACATCTCATACAAATGACAAAAAATAAAGGTTATATACAAACCAGGATTTGGTTCTAAACTCATTTCAAAGTCTGCCATTGTCAGCTTACTTTCATGTTACATTTGGAGTTTCAATTTAAGAGTTTTATTGCATAAATACAATAAATTGTTGTTTACAATAGCAGACCATTTTTTAATCGGCCATGACAGTAAAGGGGCGTAACTCCGGAACTAAGTTTCCTCGGGCGGTGCAGATGTTTGCTGTGCCCCTCTTCAACTGACGCGATCAAGAATCTCACGAAGTCTAAATCTGACTAGTTATTCTAAATGAATTAAAGCACCATTTCACCTTTGATACAATGAATTTCCTTATTTTCACTTCAGAAATATCAAATTAAAAGACAAATTATATTTTAACAATCAATCTATCGTGCAAAGATAAATCAATGCACACTAAATTTCATAATTTATCCGGACTTTTTTTTCTCTACAAGGCCAAAGTCAAATTTAATTCTTTTATTTTCTCATTTTAGCTATAAAACTATTTTATGAGCAAACCTTTTTGTTCGTCTCAGATATTTCATGCGGAATCAAAGTCTAGAGCGATTATTTTTCATCTATTAACTTTTGATACTATTTATTTATCATATTTCCAATTTTGTTAGAGAGTATCTGTAGCCTACCCTCCCCTTCATTAGCATATCTGTCAATGGCTGCCTTGTGAATCTCTTACTGTAAATAAGTGAATATTTTTTGTATTGTGTTGTTCACTATACTAGTTAATGGAATTTCAACAATGACGCTTTGTTAAATCATTTCAAGTGACTTGAATTTTACAAACTCGGCTTGGTAGATGCCTCCCGATTTCAGAAAAAATGAATTTAAGGGTGTGTCTACCATCACAACAAATAAAATTCCAAAGAAATTTTTGTTTGGGTCTGAAGTCTCCCCCACCCTGCAACAGACTTCAGGGATGGGTAAACATGGAGGTAGTTCTAAGACTATGAAACATCTAGGTATGTGTGATAATTTAAATGCTCAAAATTCAAGGGACTCACTTCTTTTGAAAGACAATGAGGAACAAAATGAAGCCAATTACCCAGTTACTGTTAAATTGTTTGATAGGTTTGAAGATGTGGAAGATGTCAAATTGAAAGTCAAATCTAAACAAATGAATAACATTCAATCAGACATTAATCAATGGAATGGTAAAGATGAAAATGTGATTTTCAGCCCTAAAGTAGGAGAAATAAACTCGAATGGGGGCCATAATTTATCCAACACAGGGTGTGAATGTAGTGGTGGAAATGTTACAAATTCAAACATGGTGAATGGATCGTGTTTGTCCAGTGAATTGGACAAATTACATGTGAGTGATACATCTAATCTGGGAAGGCACAGGAGTGTATCTGACACAAAACTAATTCGACTTGACAGTCCTGCTCTACCTACATATACAGAGAAATCCCACACAAAGGTGAAGGCTGGATTACTCATGTCCCCTATTGCCCTAACTCAAGATATTCCCATTGATATTGGGAAAGACCAAAATAGGTTTTCATATGTGATGGAAAATATTCCATCACTGTTGTATCTACCAAACACAAAACAGTTAGTGCGTAGTCAACCTGTATCAAGACAAAATTCCATAGGCAGCCATGGAGCCCATAGTAATGGTGTGGAGGACCTGCACAAAGAAATTTGTATTGATGCTAATACATCATTTAATGGTAATGATCAATCATTGGAACTTGTGTCTCCGGAATCAAATTCTAGTTTTTCTGAAACCTGTCCTTTCCCTGTTGGTGCCAATGATAATTCCAATATAGATGCTGATCAGATGACTTTAAACAGTGTAGAGTGTTTGATACCAGGTGAACTAAATGACAGAGGTTGTAATGATACGTCCAGTCTGTCTAGTGTCAGTACAGATTTCTCAACCACTGTAGGAGAAGATAACTCAGAATTTAAAAATGTATCTCTGGAAGGAGATGAGACTGGTTTTATGGAAGTAAACCTTCACTCACGGAACTCATATCAAAGATCTCAAAGTTCAGCCAGTGATGAAACCAAGTCAAAGAAGAAAGGGTTTGGTAATTTTTTGTCAAGGTAAATATTAAGTTTGTTTTTGACATGTACAGATAAAACTCTTGAAGGACATATTCTTTAAACTCTTCTGTAATTGACATCCCTGGACCAAAATGATTCATGGCTAAGCTAAAGCTATGTCTTATTAATTGCCGATTAATGCTCCAAAATATAATCTGACAATGTCTGTCTTTAGAAAGAGTCTTTAGAGAAAAGATAATAAGCACAAAATATAAATTCATAAATCACATTAACAAATTTTAATAGTAAAAAGCAAGAGCTCTGATCACAACATCTAAACAATGTTTGGGAGTTGTGAGAAATATGAGGATTGGAAATTTAGTTGAATGATCACTGAACAGTTGTGAAGATCCTGTATTAAACAAGTATTAAATCTTTTCTGCATAATAAATAGTTTGCAAAGGTAAATGACAATGATATCTCTAATTTTTTAGATTTATTTCTTGAGCTCCTTTTGTGATACCATGCTTTTATAATTATAATCTATCATTTATAAAATACTTCAAAAACTATTTGAACCTTATCAGCAGTTGGACTATTGAAGTAAGCTTAGCTATCAAGTTGCAATCAAAGACTCCACCCTTTATATTACTATTTAAAGGGCCAATATGCAATATTTTCATTATTAAAAACGATGTGAATTATAAGTGAACATTTTTTCTGCAATATACTATTCACTACCATGTATAATCTTGATCAACATCTGAATTTATGTTAAAAGGTAATACAAAACAGAGTGTACAAATAACCAAGTAAGCAGTTTCAACTAGTTTTTGACAAGACTTGTTAATTTTAGTTGAATCCTCCAGAATAATAGGACAAATATTGCTCATATTCTGTACACAGGTCAGTTGTCTGAAGATTGCATAGCCTGAAACTCTGAGTAACAACATGTTTTTTAGGTTCTGCTTTAATATTTTTATATCGGTCTACAATTGTTGTATTGAGCACAGTTACATAATATTTTATTATTATTGTGTAAATCTTTGAGATAATTTTGACATTCTACAAATTAGCAACAGTATTTTTTATTTAAAACTTTTAGATAATTTAAGGGACACACATCTCAAGATTTTCATCTTTCTTAATCTTTCGTAAATTTGATCACCTTAATTTTCCAACCTCCTAAAAATTCAGCCTGACGGAAAGAGATGGAACCTGATTGCAATAGACATTGATTAATCTTATAATTGCTCAGTCTAAATCAATAGCATATTAAACAGATATTTAAAGAAATAGATTTAATAAAGGATAACAAGCTGAATCTATAAAGCGTTTTATTTCTGCAGATTTACTAAAGGTAACACATTTTAAATATCTATGTGAATACAGAAACTAAGATAAACTTTTGATAATAATGTGAAACTAATGGAATTTTATAGATTGATTGATAAAACTCCATTAATTCCTCATTGATTTATGTATTGATGTAGAAACAATAATGATATATGGTGACTGGTACAATAAGTGATATATTATTATTTGTTTGGAAAGTAAATATCATAGCTTCAGAATCTGATGTTAGGTTAATGTTTACTTGCCCTTATTATGCCATCTTTATTTGTTTGAAAATCTACAAGCTGATTATGAATTACCTTGCTTGACTTCAGCCATGTAACTGACATGCAAAAAATTTCATGTCTTTTATATGGGACAAAAAGCTTAGATGGAACACAATATTATTGACTGGGTATTTTCAGCTTGTTTATTGAAATTAGATTGTTCTGTAAGTTTTTCATTTTTGTCATTGTGAAATATTTTGCTATATTGACATCAAAATGCTAAAGTAACTTTGATTTCTGCAACAATGAATATACACTGTGATAGACATTGCCTGTGAGAATAAGTATTGTCTTTCTCAGGTTACTGATTGACCGAATTTGTTAACTGGATCTCTAACAATGCTCATATCCAATTTGGAAAAGTTAGCCCCATTTCCTATTTAAAGTTTCTGTCTTGACGAGGATTGGGTATCCAAAACACATATCAGCTGCATGAGATGAGCAATTACATCAAATCTAGACTGGTTCATTATTATATTCTATCATGGTTGCGAAATAGGTTAAGTTTCTTCTATTCCTGAACGCCTGATGTCACTGTGCCAACTTCTTTCAGGAAGTCCACATCTTGAATAAGAATTATGGAATGATCATGTGATATTAAACACATACTTGGCCAAGAGAATGTATAGACTATGATCTTGATATCAATCAATATAATATGAAACAATTGGTTGTTTTTTTACCCTGACCTTGTTGACAGGCTATTATAATCTGTATGGATGACAGAGATTCCTGTTATTGTAGAGATTGTATTGTTAAGGTAGTTGTATAGAACTGGAAGCAGTGATTTATGACTTGGTACAATGTCTCTACTTATTGATTATTAAGACAAGGTATGCTCAATGTTTATGATGTTGAAAATGATTACCTTTTGGTTTAATGTTCCTATGTTACACAAATGAAGTACAAAGTAACATGTTAATATAATGTTGCTATTTCTATATTTCTTTGGAAATAATTACCAGGGGTTGCAATTTCAAGGGACATTGACACTTCTCAAAATAAATTAGTTAAAGGAAAAGAAACTGTATACTGCATGTCTTGATTTGATTAAGATAAGTGGGACTGGCCCCTCATGTACTTAAAACAGTTAAACAATCCTTCATACTTAAATCAGAAGTCACATATTTGCATGCATTTGTGGCTTTCAGACAACATTTCTCCTCTATTAGATAGTTTGTAAAAAATTTGACTGAATGTGTATAGGAAGCTTGACATTGTTATGGAAGATGTTCTCAAGATTGATTATGTTCTGATGGAGAATGAGACATGTATGACTAGATATGTTTATAATGTTATTATCATTCTAACTCATCTTTATTATCCTATATTCAACCTTTATCCTACATTATCTAGTATTATCTATTATTACATTGTCTGGAAACTCTACAGGGTGATTGATCTACTCCATTGATCAGTTGATACCAGTCTCTCTACCTTCAATACCATCTATACACAATATAACATCTTCTCTAGGCAATATTGATAATTGAGGGGAATGGCTTTTCCTAAGGCTGATCATCTTCACAATGTCAAGCTATAACAAACTTCGTCTTATACCTTGATTGTAGTAGCCACCTTTCTTGTATCACGGAATGGAGAAGTTTGATTGCATTGTACGGCGTACCCTGGTGAATACAAGGTCCGAGACCTCAACATAAAGACTGTTTTGGCTTATTGTTTACAGACTTTCTTTTGAGGCCTCTGATTGGTTGTATTCTTTGGCGTATATTCCAAGAAAATGCCTGCATTTACAAACTTCTGTGACACAAGTCAAGTCAAGTTCGGAAAGCTTGACATTGTGAAGTGATGACTGATATGTCCTTTAGTTATATGTAACTTCTGGTTGTCTTGTTTTCTAACTTGCAAGTAAGATTAAGGGATATTTTGATCCAATGCAAACCAGTCTTCAAGATGTCTATGATTTAAAATGAAGTCTGCTAATTTCATAGAAAAATTGAGATTACATCATATTTGAACTTGCTTGAGCTAAATCTTATTTTTAAACTGAGGACAGACAGAGCAGAGATTTATCTGGTTGTAATCATCTTTTAGATGTGAAATATTAGCTATAAAGCATGAAATTTTAGCATAAAATGTGAAATATTGTATCAGATCTCTTGCTGATCAACTGAAGATACAGCAATTCTATATTGATTTAAATGCTTTTTCCACTTCATTTCTTTTTAATCAGTTTATTCCAAGTGGTTCCATGAAATAGTCTTGTGGCATTAATGGTTAACCTTCTGATGACAGAGTGTGTCCTGAAATTTATTTGAGATAATTTTGAGATATTTCCTCATTTAATTCTGTTCTTTAATACAGGGGCCAATAACATATGAACCAAACTGTAAGGCTAAATACTTCAAGTAGAAATATATAAAATGTAAGTAGTGAGTGGTGGTTTAACATTTTTGGAAAGTCAACATATTAAGAAGGTATAAAATGACATTTAAAATGAGATTTTATTTTGGTCAGATTTAATTAGAAATAGTTGAGTACTGACTTGTAACTAGTAGAAATAGTTTTATAGTATTTGTTTGATGTGGTTGGTGATATCGTTCAGTCCCTCTCTTTTCTTATACTGTCTGTTTTAAATGTATGAATTTGGTAGCCAAATTATAACCTTTATATATGGTATCCCTTTCTTATAACAGTACTGATGCAGGGCGGGTTACAGCATTCAGGTACATACGAAGATGGTCTATTTCAATGACATTGATGTAAATACTTTTCTGCATCTCTAAATGCAAATATCAAAAGTGCCTAGATTTAAAGTATATTGACTAGAAATAAAAGAATATTTGTCAATTAATAAAGACCAAGTTTGATGAAATCAGGATAAGAAATAAGAAATTTGGTAATGCACATGCGCACAACGAAAATTCAATATTTTCATCAAATTTAGAATTGGATTATACACATACATTCCAAGTTTGGTGAAATTCGGATAAGAAATAAGAAATTTGGTAAAGCACATGCGCACAACGAAAATTCAATATTTTCATCAAATTTAGAATTTGATTATACACATACATTCCAAGTTTGATGAAAATCGGATAATAAGTAAGAAAGTTGGTAATGCATATGCGCACTACTCAAATTTATCACTGATATATGAATGAGTTTTGGTATTTATGAAGTTATCATATTTCTGAACTATATTTCTTGTTGTTGCCAAGAGAAACAGCAATGTGCTCCACTAGTTACTGCAGAGTCACAAAGGTAGTGTAGGTTCATTCTAGAACTTTGTTCTTGTATGAATAGCTGATTTTGTTTTGAAAATTTTCATTAGCACTCTGCTCTTTTCAATTCCATTGTTAAATTTTTAAACATTTTGATGGAATGCCCTTTTCTAACTAAGTTCTTGATAGTGATATAGACCAGGGCCTGTTCATAGTTATGACTGAATCCTGAAATGTCAACAAATGTTTGCTTTCAACCCCTGTAACCTGAACAGATATTGTCATAGTATCTGTAAGACATGAACAATGGTAGCATTTCAGTGATCAGGTTAGGTTAAATGTTTAGCTATATTTATTGATCACCTTTTTCAATTCCATTTAGTGCTGAAAGGTTGCTTTTGATCTCTCCATCAAAGAGTGCAGTCTACCTCTGACCTTTATTTATAATGGTATGAAGGATTCTTAGTGTAGGTTATCTGATAAATAGAAATCAATAACAACTGACTGTTTGACATGTATTGCCTCCAGATATTGAAGTGAAAAATGTTGCCTGGAGTTATTGTTTTCGAGGTCACAATTTCACCTGCTTTAGTTTTTTTAATTCGTTTATTACTCTACATACGTTTTTTTGCTTATTTGATTTTGTATGTAGGTTGTTTCTGCTTTAGGGCTTTAGCCATTTACAGAGGGTTAAAGCAACATGTAATGCTGTACTAGTACTGTTGATTGTATTAAGCTTATTTATTGAAGATAACAGGATGAATAGCTAAATATTAGCAGTTTAAAAATATTATTATCACACTGTAGTATATTTATATTGAATTAAATCTCAGTAATTGAATTAGGTTACAGTGTGATTTTGAGTCAATTGAACTTTGAATTATTTGAGAATGAAATTTGTTCATGAGAAGGATGTCAAACTATACAGATTCAGGTCAAGAGAATGTAATATGTTATAAAGAAATTGTCAGTTTTATAAGTGTTTAATAATAACAAGAAGCTGACAATTGGTTGTGTCTCTTTAAAGAAGTTGACTATAATGTAGTATCATTCAGTTTGTTACAACAGTGTAGAGTTTAATAATGAAGGCATGTGATTGAATGAACTTTGTGAGTTGACCGGACATATACAGGTTAAGATAGTGACAGTTGTAGGTAGACTATAGAAGATATATTAATGTGTTATCATTTTATAATGACATAGAAGGACTGATGTAGACATAAAGTAACTTTTCTAGTATACAGTATAATGGACTAGATATTATTAAAATGACTTCTATTATAAGTGAAAGTGCAGATATACATAATGCTGTACATATTCTTAAACGGTAAGCTGAATTCTTTCTTATTTCTTATGTAATAGGTCATTTCTCAATGCAGGTGGCGTAGGTTTTTAGATTACATTTGAAACATTAGATGAATAGAAATTTTAGTATAGTTACTCCCATTGCCAATACAGTCATTTACTTAATCAGAGTGTGGTTGTAGGAGGAGAGTGAGATAGCAGGTAGGCCTACGTGGAAAATTTTTGAAAATCGTGAACTTTACATTTTGTCCATTAAACAAGACTTCTTTGCTGTTTAAATTATTGAAACAACCGAAATGACTCAAACCTATTAAGGGAAGTAAGGATCAGATCTTGCATTTTTGAAGCTATCCTTTAAGGCCCTGTCACACAAGGAATGTGCTGCTACTGCAACGGAAAATTGACTCAGAGCATGTCAAAGTCGCCATAACAGTGGTATAATCTTGTAGATCACGTCGGACATCGTGCAGTTGTTGCCATTGTCGACTCTATTTGCTGAATTGAAAACAAATGCCAAGGTTCAGCGATTTGTTCTTGAACGGGTTGAGAACGCCATGGGATAAAGTGTCATCAGACAGGCGTTGAACAGTATAAAAAGCGTAGATGAGTGGCAAAAATTTTAGAATGCATAATGGTAGAATAACCGCAGTATGAGGCCGACTGTTTTTAATTATTTAAGGGACTTTTTCTTTAGTTTTCCTCACGTTTGACCGCGACTGAGAAATTTTGGTAGCCATAAGATCGCAAATGCAAATTGCAGTCTGTCTAGGGCCTTGAAAATCAAAGAAAGTATGTGAAAGACTAAAAATATAGCTGGGAGAATTGAGATTAATATAAAACAGTTTATTAATGATGATGAGATGTTGAATATCAAGTTGTCCCTATACACATCTACATATTATTTTAGCTTCCTGTAATTATATAGGGCTTGAAGATCTTCCTTGGTTTTCAAGGCACTTGACTTACATAGAGGAAGTATTTCAATACACTTTCTCACTTGGGAAATCTAAATGGAAATCCAAGTCTCTTTTAAAATATATTATAGTATGCTTATAAAGGTGCCCTCACACCAAATCGATTAACAGTTGCGTATGGTCGCATATAATGTAAGTGGTCATGAGTTTCGAATGCAACTTACAACTCAGTTGGATGAGAGTTGTGTTTGAATTTTATCTTTATGACTGCTATTCTTTTTCAAAACCATACCAAACTGGTAATTGCTATGGGCCACTAAAAATATGTTCAGTGTGTTGCTGGGTAGTAAACAATGTATTAGGGTACAGTATGTGTGATATAAAGGGTACAGTATGTGTAATATGAAGGGTATGGTAGGTTTGTGTGATATGAAGGGTACAGTATGTGTGATATGGAAGGGTCAGTACAGAGGTTATGGTGAAGTAATGTTGATTTATTTAGTTTGTACTGATATTATCTAAATAAAAGCCAGTAAAGACAACAATAATAGTCAGTCAATATTGACAATAATACCTGTTGTGTTATATGATTGTTAATGCCTGTTTATATCACTTCATTTTACACCTGCCCTAAACAAATCTCTCTCTTTTACATTCTCTTCTTCATTTGTATGCTCAAATGGGAAGTTATAGAGGCTTTATGACAGCTTTAAGTTTTTAAACTATGTGTGTTTGTTGTGCGGTTGCAATATAAAATTTGCACCAGTTGATTCATCAGGAAGTAGAAAAATATTTTGAAGCAAAATACCAAATGACACCTGACACTTGGTCTTTCTAAAAAGGAAATCAAGAGTTGAATTTGAAAACTGTTTCTTATTAAAACTAAAAAGAAAATACATTTGAATACAAGCCATAATTGATTTGTGAACATCAATTTTGATCTCTAGACAAATTTTATTATAAGAGACAGATTACAGTTTTGTAAAGTAACAATTCCAATGCATCCACAATATTCTGAAATAGCATATTACCACCATTCAGACAAGTGCTCTCTGAGTCTCTAAGGAAGGAATATGTCTAATTTGGAATGTTCATATAATATAGACTCAACTTATAACTTTTCTCTGTTTCTTTGTGTTGACTACAGACTTGCTAAATATTATCTAATGATTGTTTGTCAGGATCAAACTATTATTTACCAAATTAGGGTGATATCAATTTTTCTCAAAGTATTGAATGATGTATTAAATCAAGTATAAAATTGGTGTTTGATTTGATAATGAAAGGTATTGATTGATAGTGCTATATATATTGATATAAGTTTAATAGTATTAATGTAAGTTATAATGAAAGTAATATATATTTTGTATTAATTATTATATACATCATGCTATTCATAGAGAAAAGGTCAGTTTTTAGTATATTTTATTCATTTGTTAAATTTTCAGTTTGATTAAGGTCAGAACTAGGAAGAATACTATCATGTATCACAGAATGTTTTAAATGGTCTTCTGTGAAACTCAGGATTCAAATATGATTAAATCTGTTGTGAGTGGTTAGGTTGCCAGACTCCTTTTGAATTTTTGAAATTCTTCTTTTCAAGATTAGAACATGACTGAAATTATTCGCATTCAAGATTGTTAGAGCCAGAAAGTAAAACCAGTTCAAGAACAACAATATGGACTTCTAACTAGCAGAATCTTATATCAATGGGTTTCAATGACTGTTGATAATTGGCAGAATCTGAGAGAATCAGTTGCTCATGTTCTAGTTTGACCAGAGCTATTACAATCAGCAACAATTCTGTTCATGTTAGTTGCTTGTAGACAGGCAATTTTCAGTTTGAGAATCATGTTGTTATTGACAGTGATAGATTTGATGAAATGCTGCACTTTGAATTTCCAATAGTTCTGAGACTGTAACGTTAGTTTAGAGGTAGATATTATCTGTCATACAGGATAGGTTGAAGAGTGTGAAAGTTGACAACAGGTCATATCTTAAAAGGAGTGGTAAATCTTATCTTTGCTAATAGTGCCATGAGGAATTATATCATAAGGTGGAAGGCAGTCAGAGTCTTAGCATACTTTAACATTCTAATTCATATTTTGTTGACAATTTTAATGATTTTTTGCAATTTTTATTTACAGAAGTATATTCTCCAAAAGAAGTAAAGATACAACTGAATCAAGTGCTCCTGGTTGGAAATTGTTTGGCCATGTCCCTCCTAAATCCAGTGGTGAGAAAGAGGCAGCACAAATATCACAGGAATATCAGGCTAAATTACGTGCCTCACAACTAGCTCCATCTCATCCTAAAAAACAAGATGTTGAAGTCTCATCAACCACAGCACTTATTTTAGAGAACAGACCAATGTAAGTACTTTCTGAAATTTGGAGCAAGTGGCACATCATCAGATTTATCAAGCAGTTCCCAGTGTTCAGCTTGGAATCTAGCAGATACAATATATACAGCCTTGATATGCTACAGAATGTACACATGTGATATCAGATAGAAAAAACAAAAAATGTGGGCTAATGCTGCTGTTTGGCTGTAAAAGTAGAACCCAAGAATCCTTGGTTGTTTCTAGGGTTTAGAGGACATATTTTGGAGGACTATTGTAAGCCCCATGATAATTTTCAAAAAGCTACTATTCTGAAATTCAGGTTATGACCTTGATAGCATGACTACAAATGATTAATACCTACTTTAAATAATAAATAATGTATTGTTCTTGCCCTAGGGCTGATAAACTACAATACATGCAATAATGTCTTGTCATGTCTATAATAATGCTAGACAAAAGCATTGTATATATGTTTAATCAGAAATTCTGCAAACACTGCTTTGTTTAGAATGCTCCTGTTATAAGAAACGAAGGGTTTTATTGTTTAAATATTGCTTTTACCTGTTTATAGAGCTCAGTTTTAGCTATCCATAGTATTTGGTTCTTTTGCAATGTGATGCAAGTCTATTGTCATAGTTTAGATTATTAGTACTAACAAGCTGTTATGAATGTTGTCACAGGCAGTTTTGACATAATATAAGTAAAATCAAAACATGAAAATATTGATTGAATGACAATAGTCTAAACTTCTACAGTACATTTCTGTTGATTTGCAGCAAAACAGGACATATGATTATAATTCTAATTAATTGGTAATACAGGTTTATATATTCCTTTAACTTAAGTACTTCAACTATTTGCAGTAATGCAGGAGATCATGTATATGATATATGATATACTAAATAAATTTTTGAAATTAAAAACAACTTGAATACAGTTTGCCAGTTACCAAATAATCAGTAATTCCTGCAATCAACTGAATGACCGAAGACCAACTGAGACAAGCACAAGATTAATTTAAAATAAAAATATAGTTTAAGAACACACAGTAAAATCCCTATGATAATAATCAGTAAACCAGTCTATATTATATTCTAATAAGATTATATTCAATAAGTTCAATAAGTAGCTGTCTAATTAATCAAGATCATGGGTGTGTAGTCACAAACCAATATAACAATCTATATATTACTATTACTGGGTAATTGACCACAAATAATACTCAGGGTCTAATTCTTGTTATGTTCTGCATTGATAACCATGTTTTCACCTGGTATTTTAAAGTGAAGTTAGATTGAAGAAAGTATGTAATCAGATCCCCTATCTATGGTATGTCTATGGTATGCCACAGATATTCATGCACATCTGCTTGTCTGAAAATAGTCTACATTCTATTAGGATGCATTGTGGTAATAGAATCCATGTATATACATTAGATGAAGATTGCTATTCTTATACTTCTGAATAAATAAAAAAATGTTCTTGGTTTGTTGGAATAAGATTATTCAACCAATACATGAATAATCAGAAATCTAAATCTCATTGAAGTTCAACAAATTTATCAAAAAAAATCAAAAGTTGTCTTGTGGTCAATTAACCTCCCCCAATATATTATTGTTGATAAATGTTTTGACAGAAACCTGTTAATATTGGACACTGTCATCATAAAACTACTCTATGATTGAACTATTGTGTAACCAACCTTCTATTGAATCTTGATTTTGAATGGAAATTGAATTATTCCCATGAATTAAGTTTTTTGTTATTTTTATTATCAGGAATTTACCAAGTAAAGACCCAGAGGAAGCTGAAAAACATAGATTACAATATGAACAAATGATAGAATGTGCCAAGAAAAAAGGTAATAAAATTTACTATAGACAGTACTGTTTGGGGTACTGAAATTGGTTCACCAGAAAAAAGAATAACCTTTTATTTATACAGTATCGAACATAAGACCTTAATATTTGACCTGATATTACTATAGATAACAGACACTTTGAAATTGAATTCAAATAATAATTCAAATCAGAAAGTAACTGTTCCTTAAACAATGATCAATGATGTCACTATTGATGTTTTGTTGTGAACCTCTCTATGTATGATGACTCTGTATATAAAAGAATCTAAAAGAATTTTAGACTTGGCAATATGACATTTATTATGATAACAAAACATTAAAGATGAGATCTTCAGACTTACAACTGGAGGATGTGTCAGCTTATCTGAAACTTTTGGTGACATTTATCCTAGTGAATTCAAGTTTCTATTTCACAATAATTTTAACATCCTAGGCAATTTAAGTATTTGGTTTCAGTCAATTTTTAAATGTTAACTATCAGAAAATGGATATCAGAAATTACAAGTTAGAGCTTGAATAAGAGTTGTTCCATGAAAAAACTACACAGTTTACTATAAAACAAAATATCATGCGGAATTTTTACTCTCATTATAGACAAATTTATAGATAGTGATTTTAGAAAAAGTTATGTCTAATGACAGTTCTCTTTCATTACTTCACTGTTACTTGATATTGAATTTTAAACCACTTCCATTCCCAATGATAGTCTGACCTGATGATAAATTTTGTATTCATAAGATGAAATGTATTTCTATTAGGTCCAATAAAGAAAAGATTTTTCTGTTGCATCTTATTAGGTTAGTTAAAAGTCCATAATGTAAAAGTAAAAACTGATTTAAATGTATTATTAAAATAAAAATATGTTTCAGTGAGGTCATTATGTATATGATTATTCGTGATGTATATCTTATCTATTATTTATCACGAGTTAAAACATCCTGATATTAAATAATCATTGTCATTTTCATATCATTTCAATCATGACTTTTACTTTTATGAAATTTGTTATCATAAATATTATAGAAAAACTTATAGACAAAATTCTGGAATCCAAAAAAGAAAGATCTCCATATTGGAGGAATTACAATATTGATTACTGCTCTCTTTTAAATAAATATTTTTGCTTTGGATTAAAGTCAGACAATGCTCGTTTCCCATCATCATGATTTGTGTCTGGATTGAAAGCATGGCCTTGTATGTGACCTAATTGTGTTCATCCTATCAGATGTGGCAATCATGTTAATTGCTGAAATTTATTGAAAGATGCAAGGTTCTATTGTCGATCGATCATTTCAGATCGTAGGTCTTTCTTTTGTGCTGTTATCAACCTAGGTGTATGAGGATGCAGAACTGTGTATAGAATCCATTGTACTTTTTAAAAAATAAATTGAAAATAGAACAATTCAATATGAAATATTTATAGTTTGTGAACTATGTCATATGTTTTTTTTAAGCACAATGACTATTATAACAATGTCAAACAATGATTAACAAATAGAAAACCAAAATAAATACAACAACTTGAAATAAATAGTTGACATTCTTTTTAATATTGTTTAAACACTGGTTTAATTCTGTATAATATATTAACTTAAATAACACAAAAGACAGAACAAGATTCTTTTCTTGTATTTCCCTTTCTTCTACATAGCTTTCAGTCTGATTTAAATAGTAATATTTAAATATTTATAAAGATGGCTTATTAAAGAACAAATTAAGAAATTTGATTGATATCTGTACTAATTAGTTTGGGTAATGAACTCATTAAAGGACAAATCATTATATCAATGAGATTCTCATCTTTTATAGGAGATTTCAAGTCTTAAGATGTATGTGTATTAGGGACACAACAATTTTGTTTATTTGTTTCATATATTTTGCGTCTCCATTGAGTTTAATCTTACATGTTTTCTGTGTTGAAGTATATTCATACAGTGCCACCATTATCTATATCTGGACCTCTATCTTTCTTTGTAGAACAACGTGAGTTTAAACTACGTAAAAAACAACTACAGAATCAGCTACGACAAGAAGATCAGTTAGCTAAGTCTAGTAGAATCTGGAATAATGAGATATTACCTAACTGGGAAACTATGTAAGCATACTTGCTTTAACCTTGTTATTACCAACTTATGCATTGACACATTTTTGGCAATTTTTTTTATATTGCCTGGTTTATCCATACTAATTGAGCTTTGATGATGGGGGTAATGAAGAATGATGACTAATTCATGTCAGAATCTAAATGCAAATCTTGATTTTGGGATTGGAAACTTAAACATAAAAACTGAATAACAGCTCCCTGCCTAATGTACTTTCTACAATTTGATTCCAAATAAGAAGGGACCCTTGGTATTTTGATAAACACTATAGAGGTTTAAATCAATTGTTCCCTGACCATGTTTTTGAAATTTATACTGTATATTTTAGGCGTAGCAGTAAAAAAGCTCGAGATTTATGGTGGTATGGTTTACCACCCAGTGTCCGTGGTAAAGTTTGGAGGTTAGCTCTAGGGAATGAGTTAAATGTAACAGCAGGTTTGTTGAGTTTTCTGTTTTTATATGATGTTGCTTCAAATTACCAATTTTTCAACCAGGTTGAAATTGGAATAGTTGCTAATTAAAGCCAATCAGAGCCAATCTTAACGTTGTGAAGATGTAATTAAGGGGGAAATGAAATTGATTATATTTGTAATTATCTTTAGAATTATATAAGGGGAAATAAACACACCTGATCTAATTATATCTACTGTAATTATTTTCAGAATTATATAAGATATGTATAGGACGTGCTGATGAAAAAATAAAACTAATGCAAGATTCTGAATCCGTTTCTAGCTATGATCGTAAGTACTGTTTTTACCAACATCTCTAGGAAAGTAGTTGAACATCTAAGACAGCCATGAGGTCAAAACTTTTGGCTGAATTTGTGAATTGATATTCTATGAGCTGAATGTTAGACAGAACAATGTCTCTTTGGTGTCATGGACCTTATTTTGACCAATGTTGAATAAAGAGTTTATTATTATTTATTATAAAGATGTTTAATGGGTTTAGATTAGCCTGTGACACTAATTTTTTCAAAATCTATTTGTGAAATGACAGTCAGAAGGGGTGGTTTGTTGTGTCCATTATGTTGTGACTTTTAGATCTAGACATTCAAAATACCTTTATTAAGATTTGGTTCTCTGTTCTTGGATCAATATTGATTATTATGAAATTATTCTGCAGCCTCATGTGATACACCGTCCAATAAAGAAGATAGTGTTAGTGTAATCAGATTAGATGTATCTAGAACATTCCCTCATTTATGCATATTTCAAAAGGTATGTGGCATTTTCCTCTTATTATATACTATTTTGTGCTATTATATATTGTTACTGAGTAAGAAGTTGCATCAGAGATATTAATGGATTGTTATTTAAAACATACTAGGAATTTGATGCAATTGAAGGTTTTTGACAAGAAGTTCAGGAAATCAAGACTATATTTGAGAAAATTTGAGATGAAGTTGTTCATTGTGACTGTAAAATATTATTTTAATTTGTGGTCAAAGGGAGATAATTTAGAGTCAAACAATAGTTACCTCCCTTCTATTAATGTTTCTGTGTTATTTTAGGGTGGTCCATATCATGATTTATTACACAGTTTATTAGGAGCTTATGCTACATACAGACCTGATGTTGGTTATGTAAGTAGTCTTTGTTATTTCTTTCTTTCAAATTTGATGAAATATGAAGGTTGTTATTAATATGGTATAGCTTTGAGCAGCTAAAAGGACCCAGAGCTGATTTCTGCATCAGTTGTAAATTGTTAGTTCAAAAAGTTTTCTTACATTAAGTGTATATCAGTACTGTTGGTTTTTTTCTTTTCCAACAGACATATTTCAGAAACCCATGAAGTTGACTTAAATCATGAATATTTCAACAACCTGTGAAGTAAATTGAATGAGTGAACAAAAATATCTCTTATATGACCAGCTACTTCAGATCTCCAATCCTTGTGTCAGTGAGTTTCGTTTTGATAAATGCTATGTGAGATATTTATTTTGATATTTTTAGGTACAAGGTATGTCGTTTATAGCAGGTATTTTATTGTTAAATATGGAAGCAGCAGATGCTTTTATTTGTTTTGCCAATTTACTCAATAGACCGTGCCAAGTTACATTCTTCAGGATGGATGAAGCAATGGTAAGTCTGTATGATAAAGTATTTATATTTAAAAATATAATATGCTATTGATCTTTTATTTGTAATCAGTACTGGAATCAAAGTTTTATTAAGGTATTAATTTTAACATGGAAGATTATCAGTTTATAAATAGAAAATGGAAACATTAAAACAGAGCCTGAAACATGTTCGTTACACAGAGTTTCATACTGTACAATCTTCAGCCAACTGACCTATCTATGTTTTTTGTTGTTGTAGATGACTGCCTATTATAAAACATTTGAAGAATATTTTAAAGAAAATTTACCTGTTTTATATGATCATTTTGATAAACAGAATCTAACACCTGATTTATATTTAATAGATTGGTAAGAATATTTCTCTTGTTACCTAAGGAGATGTTGAAATTGGATTGAATAAGGAATGTACTTACAGGCATTGCCAAACACTTGGTGGGGTTCAATTTTTCAATTCATAATTGTTTTATTATATATCATATTTTATACCATACATATTCAGATGAATCTTATGCAAACTTTTATTTTTTCTTTGCAGGATATTTTTATTGTACAGTAAATCATTACCATTAGATGTTGTGTGTAGAGTTTGGGATGTGTTCTGGAGAGATGGAGAAGAATTTATATTTAGGACAGCTTTAGGTTTGTATTTTTAACAAATTTCATCTAAACCTTTCCAAATGATTTCACAAACCCTCACTGTATTCCTTTTTATGCAAATTTTTCATTGATCCTCTGTATTAACAATATTAATACAGTATATAACAATATATTACTCTTAGAATTAGTATTAATTAAGAATTAAAAACTCTCAAGAATGTATTGATTTTGATAATTAATACTCTGGATTAAGAATTTGAAAACTCTCATTTTATAATGAATATTTGTAATACCTAATACACTGATGAATATTTTTAAGCTCAACTCAATTACTTACAAATAACAAATAAAAGTAGATGCAGTCATTTGTGATCCTCATTTCATATTTTTTCTTTATATATTTCAGGTATACTGAGAGCTTATGAAAAAACTTTACTATCTTTAGACTTTATCCATATTGCTCAATTTTTAACAAAATTACCCGAAGATGTTACAGCCGACTTTCTCTTTCATAATATTGAACCTATTAAAATGACAATTGATAAGAAGAAGTTTTCTAATATTCTGTCTACATATAAAGATAATGGTGAATCATGATAATTATAGTGTATAGAATATCAGGATAGTGCAAAATACTCTTGACCCGAGTGATATCATACAGTAGGATAGTGTACAGAGAGTTTAAAGGTTAGGATTGGAGAAGGAAAGGTGATTTCGTCAAGTTGTGTAATGGATTCTTCAAATTCTTTAGCACCATTTTAACAGTGAGAATTTTTCGTTATAATAAATTCTTATACAATTGAGATAAGACAGGCACATAGAAATAACACAGGTCAAAGGTGACTGTATTGAGTATCGAGTATGTGGCAGTGAACCAAAATAAAATAGTGTTGTTTATAACAAGTTGAGATGTTGTATGCCGTGTAATTACATTGATACTATCACCAAAATGACATGCTTCAGTTGCTGAAGCATTGATATCAATAGGCTAGAGGGAAGTACATCTGCAGAATATAACAGTGTTCCTTCTGCTCATTCTCATTATCCATATCTGTTCTTAGCTTGTATGGCTCATAACCTGTGAAATTCTGTGTGTTGTATCAACGAATAGATACAAGTGTTAATGTTAACAGTATTGAACTGTGTTGAGTGAACATATACACTGATATTATACTTTATGATTATCGGGTAAACAATAAAGTCAAAATACATCCAGTGTCACAAATAACTACTATCCCAATTGTGATCAAACATATTGTGCTGTGATTGTGATAGTTTTATGGCCAGATTAAATTCTTTAACATGTTTTTTGTCAATTGTGGGTCTTATGACATTTGTTGGTCAAGATTGGCTAATATTTGTAGTCATCTGAGATCAAGCACTCTCTATTCATACCTTATGTTCTAATTTAGTTTTGTTAAAGATACTTTCTCAGTGCTCTTTTTCAACATTTGAGTTTTAGACAAAGGTATTTCTGTGTTATTGGCGTAGTTATAGTAATTATTTCCATTGCTCATGCGACAAATCAAAAAATCCCAAGTGAAATGCTCTGTAACAAATCATTTATAGATGAATATTGTTAAAGATAAGAATTGAGCCTGTAAACTATAAACTGTGATGTGGTATATAATATATATAGATGTAGATAATACATGTTGTATTTTATACTAGACATTGAGATTAATTGTATATATCAACATCTGTATAGTCCAGCAGAGATAATTCTGCTCATCCAGATGCAATTCAAATCAGAAATATGAGCAATCCATTTATTTTTTTGGTAGAATATATAGAACATGTTCTTGAAATTGAAAACCTGAAACATGTTGAATAGTTCTTTAACACTCTACAATGGATGTATTGAACGCTATTTTAACATTTTAAAGTGTGTTGATTACTATTTACAATACCTGAAAATAAAGAGGCCTGCTTGTATTTATGTTTTAAATTGGACCAGGATAAACAGAAATATCTTTGCTTGATTATATTAAAGCACATTCTGGATTATCTCAAGACATAAACAAGACAGATTTACTTCATTTGAATGTAGTCAATGAGGGCCTTCCATGTAATCTATTTAGCATAAGGTATGGTACTCCTGTTTAGTTTATGTTTTAAAGCAATCCCAGACTATTATCTTTGACCTTTAAGAACACAAGTTATATGGATATACTACTTCTAGGTTTATATTACAGACTACTTTTTGAAACTTGATAACGTTACCTGTATGTGTTTCGAAAAGTAGTATGTAATAAACTAGAAGTAATATATCCATATAACTTGTGTTCTTAAGGTTTAATTTCCTGCTTCTATATGACTTACAAAGATTATCTTTGACCTTTTATAGAATAGAATTCTGTATATATGTACATATTTTAACAAAAAATCCTCTTTCTAAAAACTAGTGTACTCATCTTGACTGGATTTATGCCTTCAAATCATCTCAAATCATCAATTTATGTAAAACACAATTTTTGTATTTTCTAAGTGCAAACTAAATTGAGATATTATTATACATAATATTTAGAATTAGTTTGCACTTAAAAAATACAAATTTTCTTAGATGATTGTGTTTTACATAAACTAGGTTCTGATTTCGCTGGTATGTGATAAGAATTTCATGTACACCAGTACCAAAATATAGAATTAAAATATCATTTAGTTTGATTGGATAGAATAAACACAATTCAGTTAATAATTAAATAAATTCCACACAATTAGTTAAAGGGACTAATCAAGCATTTTATAATTTATTCCTGAGGTTTGTTTTATTCTTCATTCTGAGACATTCTGTGTTGCAGTAACATTCAGTGTTACAGTAACATTCAATGTTACAGTAACATTCAGTGTTTCTTTGACATTCAGTGTTTCTGTGACATTCAGTGTTACAGTAACATTCAGTGTTACAGTAACATTCAGTGTTACAGTGACATTCAGTGTTTCTGTGACATTCAGTGTTTCTGTGACATTCAATGTTTCTGTGACATTCAGTGTTACAGTAACATTCAGTGTTACAGTAACATTCAGTGTTACAGTAACATTCAGTGTTACAGTGACATTCAATGTTTCTGTGACATTCAATGTTTCTGTGACATTCAATGTTTAAATTTGTGTGCCTTTATCTTTCAAATATAAATTATTCTGTAAACAGCTCAATGAAGCTCATCCCCATCAATTGCTCCTTATTTTTTTTAACCTTATTTCTATTGAATTTTGCTATTTTTGACAAACAAGGAATTATTTTCTTGAACATTTTTGTACCTATAATCTTACGTAAGTCCATTATCAAGTATGAATTTTGATCAAACTAACGCTCAACAAATAGTGCTGACATTCCATGTTGGTATGTTACATAAATGGCTCCTTTTTTACTTGCTTTATTCAAGGTCTTTCTGATCTGTACTGGCTGCCCTTAACTACCTTTCAGTTTTTGAAATAATTAATAATGCATAATTATTGATATTTTTATCAACTTTAGAAGAGTTCCTTTGAGAATTAATACATGTGCCACGCTTTAGTTTTGATAGCTTAGACATTCTGACAATTCCCATTTCATATTTAGAATCAATACAGTACTCAAATAGTTATATACTTTCACTGTCTTGTCATGTTTACTGACTTTGTAAATCTAGTAAACACAACATATATGCTTCATGAATATCATTTTCTCTTGTTTTTTGTACAATTACCTCTTTCTATTGCTTTTAAAGGTGCACATACGGCTTAATTTTGAACATAATGTCTTAAATACTCATTTTATGTATATTGTATATCATTGATGATCTCATACAGTTATATTACTAATGGCAAAACACTGCAATGCATGTACCAATATGAAGATAAAACACTGCAATGCATGTACCAATATGAAGATAAAACACTGCAATGCATGTACCAATATGAAGATAAAACACTGCAAAATATTAACCAAATGAGTTGACTGCTATCGGCTTTAAACTAAGAAATATTTGCAAAATATAAAATATATTCTGGTTGTGTATTAATAAAATCAGGGGCTAGTTCAAAGAAATATGATAATATAACATTATAGTAATGTAAAAAGAACTGGTTGCTATCATTACAATATGGTATAGAAAAATCAGTTTTCTAGATGGAATAAGTTGATCAGTTTTAGTTTCCACAAGCCCATGGGTCAACCTTGAGAATTCTATTTCTGATAGATTTTTTGCAAGTGATATTTGAATATTACCATTCTTAAACTTAGCAGTCTATTTTTACTGACTTGTTGACCAGCTGTGTAGGACTAATCATTGAGAGTGATCTAAAGCAACTTATCAACAACCAAGTCAAATTCATAATAACTTATAATCAAGATTGTATATAAAGATGTAAAGATGCTCTATATTTGTATTATATTTTGTCTAAAATTGTAAATAGTTCAAGTTTTATATCTTAGTTCAATTTTATTTATTATCAAACTATTCCTTTTAAAATTGGATTCAAATTTTTTTTAGATTAATTGATTTGTATGAATTAATTTAAAAATGTTGAGAAATGCATTGCTTGTCCACCTGTTTTAAATCTTTGACCTTGTTGTCAAAACGTTTACAATTTGCTTTGGTTGTTTTCTTCTTCTTTTTCTATTTCATCTACCTGTAATATATAAATTGTTTGTGCTTTACATTTGATGGAATATGAAACAAAATCAGGAACTATCTCGTCGCTTCTGTTTTAAAAAAAACTAAGTCGTAAGTTAGAAAGATAATTTTGTTTGATTAAATGAAATAAGCACTAAAATTATGATATTGAGTTTATTTGAAGTTGGACCCAGAATATCAAAGCTTATGGTAAACTAACAGTAAAATTCAATGCAATTCAATTCAATATAAGTATGTAAATAAATATTATGTTGGAAGCATAATTCAATATTAGAATATAGTCTATTGTTTGATATCTAATAAAGATTATGCAATATTTGACTTAAGTTGTTACTAATCAATACCCTGGCTGGATTTTATTAGTTTTTAAGCATTTCTTTGTCTTTGAATGCTTGGGAAAACAAGATATAAATATTAGATCAGAAGCATCAAGGCTACATTTAAAGGGATACGTTGAGTCTAAATTTCCAATATCATGGGTATTTGCCATACACCGCCCCTTTTAAATTGAAACCAAAGTTCTACTGCCGTCACTGCTATTCGGTACAATATTTCAGTCCTTTTTATTGTATATTTCAGCTCTTAGAAGCATGGAAGATGTTAAAAGCTCATACCACAAAACAGTTGAAAGTACATAGATTTAGTTTAATTTATAACTATTTAAGTATTTATTTAGTGTTTGTTGTCGTTACTGATAAATCACGATGAAGTAGGACAATGATTATCAGAAAAAATTATTTCCATCCCAATGATCTACTTTCAATGCCAATAAAAAAAGGCAGAAGTAAGTCTGCATTTTTTGACCAGATGTAGCCTACCAAGAAGAACTCAAAGTTATTTCCTGGTTACCTTCACCTGGAATTACATTTTTTTCGTCCAGAGAGATATTTCCTTTTCTTATTTCTATGTGAACAGAAAGTGTCCTGATTATCAAGCGACATAATGTCACAGACAGAATTACATTTATTATTCCCTTTAAAGCTTGAAATTCCTCGTGTCACACGAAGCTTACAGTTATCAGAGTATGTCGCTCCTAAAGCAACGTTCTCTGTTATTATTTGTTATCGATTGACTTAAAATACTGTCATTAGAAATATTAGATGTGGAGGATGGAGCAACATTCAATAATATCAACACCATAGTAACCGATAAATAAATAGGTAAAATCAATTAAACAGAGTTTCAAACAAATTGTACATCATCAGTTAGTGTGACAATAATTTTATCACTGAGGTGTAAGAACTGACGTTTTCAGTAAGGTAAGGCTTGGGCAATGTGATTAAAACATTTTCTTTTGTATTTAAAATATGGGTTTATATGTTTCATACATCTAAAAAATGGTCATAATAAGGTGAAACATGAAGTGTAAAAGCCGTTTACTTTTTAATTGTAGATCTATACAGTGTAGGGGATAGTCTCCAAGATGAATGACATACATAAAGCGGTTTTACGAGAAAAGAACGATTTTTTAATCCACGAAATAACAGCTACTCATATCCTACAGAAACTGCTGCGAGCTAGAGTTATTGACAAAGACCAAGCAGCCAAAGTTTTGGATGCACATGAGCGGAGTAAAAATGAAGGGATGGGTGTTCTGTTACAATATGTGTCTAGAGGTGGTTCTAAAAGCTTCGACAACTTTCTGGAAGTTCTAAGGAAAGAAAATTATGATGAAGTTGCAAATGAATTGGTTAAAGCTGTCACAAGAAAGGTTGGTACAATATTGATAGTACACTTTTTCAAAAATGTCGATGGCAAATTATTTTCTCGTGTGGGCTTTAAGCAAGAAACATTTCTGATTCAATGATCGACACGAGCTTTCAAAATCCTACAATCGAGTGTAGGCTAACATCCCAACCAACTATAAACAGGGCCCGATAAAAAAAGACTAAATAAAGGTAACAAAACATCAGATTAAAATGTATCCACATTTATTTTCAGGAAAAACTACAACATTCAAAGATACCAGTCACACCTAAATCGAATCGCAAAGCCATGGCTAATAATGGCAATCAACAGTCAGGTCAATTGACGTACAGATCTGAAGAAAAAACACTAGCACCAAATAAGTCTACAAACGCCACTAAAGCTAGCGATACCAGATCGGATAAAACTGGGACAAAAGAAAAGACTTTCATTGCAAAGTCAGAGGGAAAACATAATTCAAGGCAGCCACAAACACAAGCGACCACTGATAAACCAGGCTATGGCTCTCAGCACGGTGTGCGTTCTAATATCAATGACAGTAAAAGCAATGCTACGCGCCAACCAGATGCAGCCGGTAAAACTAAACCAATAAATAATGGTACCAGCCAATCAAGCTCGTTTAGTCCGAAAAAGACGCAAAGCGGCAATACCACTTCATCTGTCAGCACAAAACCCTCGAAGAATGCCACGAGCACAACAAATACAAAAACCTCACAGCCATCTAACACCACTAGTAACAGCAAGGCACCAATTGCTACTAGCAACAAACAAGCTAACGCAAGATCATCTCATGCTGCAAATACACAAAGCACTACCAGTAACGCGAGTCCTTCAAACGCGAAACCATTCAATTCGAATGCGAGTCAATCAAAAACATCCCATTCAACAAGCCCATCAAAATCGTCCCATTCTACAAGCCCATCGAAGCAATCTTATTCAACAAGCTCTTCAAAGCAATCTAATGCGACACGCCCGCCAAAACAGCCAAATGCAGCGAGAGATTCAAAACCTGTGAATAACAAGTCGTCTTTGATGATCAGTTCCACAAAACTACAGACTAAGACGAGTCAGACTAAAGGGTCTGAAGAGACAACGTCAACTGGAACCAACAACAAATCGCAAGGTACGAAACGTGACAATGAGCCCAGAGTTCCAAAAGATGCACCAAATACTAAACCATCGCTTACAGCAAACTCTAAACCACTGAACAGTAAAACTGTGGGGACAGGGAATGCTAAGCAGTCGAAGCCAGAATCTAATAAACAACAACTACAGCAAGAGAAAGCAGCAACAGGCCGTACACCAAAACCTGCTGGAGTTCAACCTAAATCTAAACCAAACAAGCGCTTCATTAATTAGCCTAGTCAAATAAAGAACTATATAAAATTATTGTTAACACTGGATAATCTATAAATAAAATAAATTTTAGTTTTACTGATTTTCTTCTTGTGGACTAGCGAATAGAGATAACACAGCAAAATATCCTTTCTTCAAATTATCAGCAAGAGATACTATAGCTTTTTACCAATCCAATCCTAACTACTTTTTTTACAATAATTGTATAGTTGTGAACTCCTCAAACGAGACCATAGGGCGTTATTAAAAGAGTTTGGGCTATAAATAGACTCATAAAATAATAACGTCATAAACAATAAATTTAACGTCACGTCATTATTCAGTTTCCAAAGTTGAAGACGCTTTTACAGTTCGCTCTGTAAACTTAACAGAAAAACAACAGAATTCTGCATTGTTTGGTGAACATTGTTTGTTTGGCAGATATGAATGAGAAAATCGCAAATATAACCTTGTTCCTTCCATCTTTCTAACTGATGATGACAGAATTACACCAAAAATTTAAAGAGAAAGACCTAGGTAAATATATCTTTATTTTTATTTCAACAAAGACAAAATAAAACTTAGTTTCAGTAAAATCTTACGATAGATTGATACTGTTGATATTAGTTTTTGGTAACATACAGAGAGAGGTAATACGCCAACTCTTCTAACCACAAGTCTAGTTCCACAAGTTCCGTCTAAACTGACACATCAGATCCTTCCAGGTTCGGTTCCTTACTAGAGTTCTGTACAGATCTTGGAACGATTTCCCCATAACCACGGACTCAAAGGATTTTATCACGTGAGGACACCTTGTAGAACAACTCTACCTAGTCCAGTAACATCTTAGCGATCGAACGTCCACAATTAATGATTTAGAAGGCGTTACAAGAGAAGAACGAAACAGCAACAACCATTATATACCTACACCATGTTCAACTAAAATAAAAAAAAAAGCGTAAAAATAAATACAAAGCTGTTTCTTTCTTTTTTCTGCCTTTGAGTTCAGAACTCGGATATTTTTGCTTTCATTTGAGGTTTCTGAATCTTTAAATCGCTAACAGATAATCTTATCTAATAGTTGGTTTAGTAAAACTCAAGTAGCTAGTTTAAAAACACTACCAGACTACATTAAAATAAATATATTGAAAACAAACATTAGATTTTATATCAATAATATCACCAAGTATTTATAAATAGATTTAAATAATCAGATAGCAAACTTTCTATATATTGAACAGAAATAGAAATCGTTAATTATTTAATACATTTAGTTTAAATGAATTTAGAATGTAGTTTTTTTTGTTGAACATTGATTTAACCTTTTCAGTGATAAGCATCACATAATCTTAGTAACCTCAACTCCAAACCCAATGTCAATTGTAGCCATTTTCGAAAAGGGTTCAATATTCTGTGGACTCTAAGCCCACCAAAATAATATATCTTTTTTTATGTTAAGAAGATTAGAAACGAAGAACTCCTTCATTTTATATGTGAAAACTCTATAATATGGTAGGCTATAAATAGACTCATAAAAGAATTACGTCATAAACAATAATTATAACGTCATGTCATTATTCAGTTTTTAACGATTCCAAGTTTGAAGACGCTTTTACAGTTCGCTCTGTAATTTTAACAGAAAAACAAAAGAATTCCGCATTGATTGGTGAACATTGGTCGACAGAATGGATAAAGAACCTGCGGATGTGAGAGAGTCAATACGCCAATTCTCTTATTCTAAGCAATAAGGTTTTCCTTCATTAAAAACAACATGACATCGGACCACGCAACAAGCCAAGTTCAATCATAGTACAATATTGTGATCTAGGATCAGATCGTTAGAGTTCTGTACAGCTCCTGGAACAATTTGATCTTATCACAGGACAAGCACGGTACACTGTGGATCTTATCTGTGAGGTCACGATTCGAAAGGTTTTAAAAACTCTACGACCTGTACCACAATCAAAAGATTTTCCAGCTAAACAACCAAGATATACCGACACCATGTCCAGAGAATATCTATGGCTGGAAAAATGGGTCCTATCTCAGGCAAGAGCAACTGTATTGAACTTGCCACAAACATGAGCGGCCGGTTCATTCCAGAACGATACATTCTGTCTCTCAATACCGTCGGCATAGAGTCTGATGACCAACTATAATGTAAAGTTGTTGTAAGGTACATCTTATTCCATAATTATCTAATACTTTACAAAATTTAGGCCTACTGTTTTCAAAATTCTGGAATTTTCACCTGGGTAAATATTATTTCACCCGGGTCAAAATTCAAGTTTTTAATTAAATATGTTTTATAATTATATTCCAGTTTTTTAATTCAAAATTTAAAAAAACAAAAAAATGATGTCGTATACGAACCACCGTATCCACATATTTTTTTATGTGATTAGAGGGCATATCATTCTGTTATCCAGAATCTTTCTCTGACTGCTATCATAATTTATTGACTAGATATTTACCCCAAATGATCAATATATTAAACAATGGTTTTATTATGAGATTTGAATTAATATATTATAATGAGTATAATTCAACTCAGAGACGATGTTCTGGAGACTTTATTTGATAGAATCTAGCATTACCTGCTGTAGAGTCGTCATTGATTCAATTTGAACATTCCAGCCACAGCCACAGTTATATATTGCACTACCACACCATAGAACTCTTCAGTAGGCATTTCGCTCTTTTGTCATTTTGCTAAAACCTGCACATTCATGGATGCCGGTGTTTCATTTTTTCTTATCATAATACAACAATTATTGTGATCAGTTCCCTCCCTTGACTGTTAAATTGAAAAAATATATTTTCACCAGTTACGTCCCTTGAACCTTCAACATTAATTGGTCACGTTCCTATTTGTAGTGTTTGTTGTGTATGTTGATCACCTATGACAGGATATGCTTACTCTTCTAGATTACTTTTCAATATGAAATACTTACTCACTTATGATTGATATTCTTCCTCATGTGAAAAGTTTATTAGCTTTTAGGTCTACCAATGTTAATAAGCCAAAATGTTGTTAAGATTTCGGGTTTCGTTTTGCTGTTCGGACCCTTAGGGTTGGTTTATTTATTGCCAAATAAAGGCAATCAATTCATTAATTGTATAGTAGTGGACACTTAGGTGTTTTGTAAGGAGTTTGGGTTATAAATAGACTCATAAAGAATAACGTCATAAACAATAATTATAACGTCACGTCATTATTCAGTTTCCAAAGTTGAAGACGCTTTTACAGTTCGCTCTGTAAACTTAACAGAAAAACAACAGAATTCTGCATTGATTGATGAACATGTTTGCTGACAGAATGGATGAGGAACCTACAGATATAGCCGCGTTCTTGCCATCTTTCTCACTGGTGATGACAGAATTACACCTAGAATTTAAAGAGAAAAACCTAGGTAAATATATTAATTTTTCACATTAAAAAAATATTTCAGTTTCCCTTGACTATTAGATTTAAAAAAAACCATTTTCATCAGTGAAATCTTACAGTAGAGCTTGTTCCACATCTAGATATTATAGAGAGACCATACTGCAGTTCTTTAAATTACATACAATAATGGTTTCTATCTTTAAAAACCTTGACCTACTACAAGTTAAATCGTAGTGTAATTGTGACCCAGGATCAGATCGAACGACGAAGAAGAAGACTGTTTCTGAAAAAATAACATCTAAATTAAAATTTAAAAAAAAATGCTCATCCAAATTCTTATGTTTGATATATTTATTTTATTTTACCAGGTGATCATTTTGAAGATGATAGTAGCTCCTAAAGTTCTGGTTATGGTTCCGTCTCTACTGAAAAATCTACGACCCGTACCAAAACCAAAAGATTTTCCAGCTAACCATGTAGAACAATTCTACCTAGTCCCGTAACATCTCCGCGATGATCACCTCGAACATCTAACATTGATGATTAAGAAGATGCCACAAAAGATAACCAGGATATACCGACACCATGTCCAGAAAGCATAATTATGTTGAAAGCAAAAACCCCCTTTCCGATACATAGATGACGTTTAGTCACTTATCAACTCAATTTTTGGAGCCTTTGTTGATAAAATTTGATGTTGATGGAAATTAAAGACTTCCGCTATACCAGAGTTTGTTCAATTTATGAAGACTTTCTGGCAAGAGGTCGAGTTTTGACTTTGAAATTTCTTAACCCTCTCATCAGTAGTATCCAGGATAAAGCTATGCCTGTGGCCTAGTCCGAAACATCTGACTCTACTCCAGCCTTTGGTGGATATTTTGACAGTTGTCAGCTACACCAGGTAACTGGTGAGTGTCTGATCTAAATATCTGATATAAATGTCTAATAACAATATTGCACCTTGGTATGCCAGTCAGACCAGCAAGATGATTACCTTTTAACACACAAATACACCATACAGTTGTTTCAACCAATTTGTGTGGATTGTCCTTGTGCAGAGTTCCAGGGTGTTATTTCCTGAATTTCAAATATTTCTTACTGCAGACGACAGTTGTGGTTTCCTGATGTTTCAAGGGGCACTTCTGGAAAGTGGTTACCAATTGTAAGCCTTTGATCACAAGTTTTTTTCTTGAGTCGCATTTGTGCAGAAGAGCGGAAATCAGCAATTAGTAACAATCAGAGATCTTCTATAAGCTGGATAAAATACTTGTGTCTGCTTTGAGTTGCCTTTGGAATAACATATATGCATTATAACATCTCCACATGAAAATCTTGACCAAAGTCTTTGGGGCCACCTGTAATGTTTTCGGCCTTCGTGTAGTCGTGTTAGTTGATCATTGCGATCACAACCTACCATTAATGAAAATTGTACATGTACAAATTGTGGCATTGGAACGTCTACCACGGAACCATCGTTATTTCTACGTGTTGCTATGGGTACATTTTCTGGGTCGTGGTAACTGAAAATGAAATGAATAGGCTTTCTGTCCTGCCAAAATTATCACGAAACACTTTCACTGCACTTGAATTTGAAATCACGTCTCTCGGCTAGTTGGAAATTAATGTTAATGAAATTTCGATTATTTTTTCAAATTTTCAGAAATTACGATTCTGGAAAAAACAACCCAACTCCAGTCAACATAGTAGTAAAATTGATTTAGCTAAAATAAATAAAGGTAGATATACACACAATGTGTCGGAATGACCCAAATCAAAGATTTTTCCAAAAGTTTTCTACGGGGTGTAGAACCATCTGAGACGTTTCACTGTTTCTTTCTTTTCTGTTTCTGCTTTTTGAGTTCAGGAACTCTAGTATTTTTGCTTTCATTTTGTGTTTCTGCATCTTGGAATCATTAATAGATAATCTTATCTAGTATTTGAATTAAAATCTTGTAGCTAGTCTAAAGACACCACCAGACTACAGTTTCTAATTATATTGAAAACAAAACATTAGATTTTATATCAATATAATATTATTAAATATTTATAAATAGGTTTATATATGTAGATAATTTTCTATATGGTGGACAGAAATAGAAATTGTAAATTATTTAATAATCTTTTTTGAGATATATCTATATAATACTTTCAGCAGCGATAGCTTCACAAAACAAGTTAACCCCAACTCCTAACCCCAAGCTATTTAGACACATTTGTTGTCATTTTCGAGACGACTGATAAAAAATATATTTTGTTGTAGTTTTAGTCATATAGATAGTGTTCTCTCCCTTTATTTAATTTCTCAAAACAGTGGAAAATTACTTTGCTGGAACAAAAAGTGTTAGCGGACAAAGACAGGCAATGGCTACAAATAGACAACCAATCAGCAGGTAGAGTGGGCAACAGCAAATAGACATTCATTTTGAAGATCTAGTGGACAACATTGACTGGATGTAGACATTCATTCTAAAGATCTAGTGCATAGCATTGTCTGAAAGTAGACATTCATTCTGAAGATCTAGTGGGCAACATTGACTGCAAGTCGACATTCATTCTGAAGATCTAGTGGGCAACATTGACTGCAAATAGACATTCATTCTAAAGATCGAGTGCATAGCATTGTCTGCAAGTAGACATTCAAACTGAAGATCTAGTTGGCAACATTGACTGCAAGTAGATATTCATCTAAAGATCTAGTGCATAGCATTGTCTGCAAGTAGACATTCATTCTAAAGATATAGTGGGCAACATTGACAGCAGGTCGACATTCATTCTAAAGATCTAGTGGGCAATATTGACTGCAAGAAGACATTCATTCTAAAGATCTAGTGGATAACAGAAGATTTGGTGGGCAACATTGACTGCAAGTAGACATTCATTCTAAAGATCTAGTGGGCAACATTGACTTCAAGTAGACATTCATTCTAAAGATCAAATGGGCAACGTTGACTGCAAGTAGACATTCATTCTAAATATCTAGTGGGCAACATTGACTGCCGGTAGACATTCATTCTAAAGATCTAGTGCATAGCATTGTCTGCAAGTAGACATTCAAACTGAAGATCTAGTTGGCAACATTGACTGCAAGTAAATATTCATCTAAAGATCTAGTGCATAGCATTGTCTGCAAGTAGACATTCATTCTAAAGATCTAGTGGGCAACATTGTCTGCAAGTAGACATTCATTCTAAAGATCTAGTGGGCAACATTGTCTGCAAGTAGAGATTCATTCTAAAGATCTAGTGGGCAACATTGTCTGCAAGTAGACATTCATTCTAAAAGTTTAAAAGAGACATTCATTCGCAAAGAAATAATAGGTTGAAAATATTCATACCTTTGAGGATTGGTAAGATTGGCTTCAAAGAAACTTTCACTGAAATCTAATGGGCAAGATTGGCTGCATTATAAATTATTGACTGAAATTACACCATCTTCATACTGATCTAATTTGCTAGAGATGTCCATCATGATGAGATCAGCATCAAATGCATATTAATAACATCTGACTGTATGAGAGATACCAGACCTCCCTTCATGAACCCCCTTAATAATTAAATAAAGAATAATCTCAATTACATATGATCTTTTTATTTCTCGTTGAGGGTATTCAATGTACAGATGAAGTACATTAAGGAATGAAGGATTATCTCCCTCATATTACATACCCAAATTAATTCATATAAAAAAATTTCAATTTGGGTTCCAAAAACTGTAGTAATTTAATTTGTAATTTTCATAAATGAGGGCATTAAAAATTTGGAAAAAAACTGCTTCACAGGTCACGATAATTTTCTGTGGAAAATCGAAAAAATTTGAAATTGAATTTCATTTGAATGTGTTATACGAAGGGAGATAATTTTAAGATGATGATGAATTTATATATACAACTGTATTATATATTTCATACCAAAAAAAACAACACAGCACATTGTCTTTTTAACAAATAAATGCACTTTACCACAATATATACTACCTTTAGTTAAGCTTTTCATTAGAAAATTAAGAACATGAATGATACTATTTGTCATTCAAAAAAAAGAGAATAAAGAATTGTTTTTTGAAACCAAAATGTCCTTAAATATTTACTTAAATTTTTCTAGGACTAAATCATAAAATTAATCATTAAGTCATTCACTAAAAATATTTCAAATCAAAATATTTTCAGGATAAGAAAGTAAGAGTTCTGATGTAAATAATTATAACTCTATGTTATACTAATCTGGGCTACAGAAATGTAATTATCTAAAACTGGATCATACAGAAAGAGGAATTTTGAGGTAGATTAAGACATAAAGCTTAGGGTGTCATGATATAAATGCCATTCACTTATTATTAGTTATTTTCGAACGATGAAATAATTTATTTTAATCCAAAAAAAAATTTCCACTGAATATTTCTAATAATTTATACTGTGTTGCAATTAACTTATAATTAAAGTTTTTGTGTTCTTTTAAGAAAAGGATCTTAATATAATATGCCATTTAATTTCAGATAGAAGTTAATTGAGACACATTATCTCAAAATCTTAATTTGCTTATCAATACCAAGCTGTAAAGAATTATTCAAATTCGAAATACGAATTAACATAAAATTATCATAAATTACCATCATAGCACTTGCATAACAAATCATTGACTTACAAATTCTTTTTGAATTTAATTTTTAATTCTGCATTCTTCAAATAAATCAACAAAAACAAAAGTTACCCTGTTTGAAAATATGTTCCTCACTCATGGAGAAAAGAAAAAAATAGCACATTGTTGATATCAAAACAATCACATGCAATCTGAACACTAGCATCACAGACACATCACTGTCACAATCACACTTAATACCTGTCACACCATCACAAACACTGTCACACCATCACACAACATTCAAAATGACAACAAATTATAATATAGTTAGAAACTGTACATATAAACAAAGGGTAGACAAATAAATTATACAAACAGTAGCCAATATTTACAGTTTTAGACATATTCAATGTCTTTTTGAGTCTTCACAACAACTTCTTCACTCGCCATACAAAATGTTTTTAAATTTTTTCTCGTTCGATGTTCACTATAAGGTGTAAGGCAAGTTAGGAAAAAACTACAAAGTAGTTTGAAAATCTTTGGTAAGGTGCACACGATAATAATAATGATAATATTTTGAAGTTTTTTTTTTAATAATAAAATAGATCTATAATAGCCTATATATCACAAATAGTTTATAACACTAAACTTCACCCATTTCTACTTCATACTAGAAAATACTACACGTTTTCACTGAGCAATGGGCAGTCAAGTGCACTTTAAGTAATGTCAACTAAAGTCAGCGTTTCTCGTTTTTGAGGTCTTGACACATGAGCCATTTTATTTCTTGGATTTCATATTAGTTTTATCACAAACACAAGTTTTCTTTAGTCCTTTTCTTTATGGTTGTTCTTTGGAATCCAAGATAGACACACGAGGTTTGTCAGTTGTCAGTCAGTTTTCGATTTCACTTTCAATACAGCCATCTTGCTTCTTTATGTTGTAGAAATTTCCGAAATGAAAATCATACACAAAGTATATTTCTATTGGCAGGTGTTACAGGAAGATATTTTATCGCCAAAAGTAATCACATAACACTTTCAAAATTGAAGAAAAACAAGATGGCTGCCAAGTGTGTCTGCTACTTAGTAATTATAGATATGTTGATGTTGATGGTGGGTATGATGATGGGGATGATGCTGTGAAACTGATGATATGTCTGAATAAAAGTCCACACTAGGGGTTGGAGTTTTAGGGACTTTTCCCTGACTAATTTGCAACATACTTGAGTGTTGTTGATAGTTATTAGTATAAAAGTCCTTATCGTGAGTAGGTACTGGATAGCGCTGAATTTTCAAGTTGCTGCCATTTTTCTGACATTGTTTTTTACGATGACAGTATAAGACAATGCCTACAAAGAGTACTATTAATATGATGGCTGGGATGGCGATAAATAGAGGTAGATTATCTGTTTGACTGGATGAACCTTGATCTGTATATGACAAACCAGTGTTAGGTCCTGAAAATACATAACACACTTACATTAAATTCATTACAAAGAGAGAAAATCAGTCATATTGCTATTTATAACATTACAAAATGGATTTCAAATCTGAAATCATTAACCGAATGAACATAATATTAACTGTAAGTAATCCTAATACAAAAATGGTTTCTCCCTACCATAATAAGAAGTTGAACATACCTGAAGACACTGTTAAGAAGGCGCTTTTAAAATTATATCCCACAGTGTTAGCACCGAGACAAATATACATTCCTGCGTCCGATTGGGTAGCATGAGATATCAGAAGTTTATTAACGTAGGTACCATCAGGTCGATTCCACACTTCACCCGTTTTTAATACCACAAACTTCTGGCCTTTAACCTCTATTGTTGTATTTTGGTTGGGAATGGCATCCATGTCTTCTACTCTTTTTAACCACTGAAATGAGTTAGTTTAGTATTCATATACTTTTTGCTAGACAAAAGATGGACAATAATGTTATGCCAAAATTAAGTAGGCCTATGGAACAACTACAAATTTCTGTGATTCTTGATTTCTGGTATCAAGTATTTGAAACACCTTTTACCCTTTTCAATGCATGACCTATAGCATTTATATTTGCTCAATAACATAATCTGAGCTGAGGCAGTTTTTTATGATCTGAGCTGAGGCAGTTTTTTATGTTTTTTTTTCGTTTACACAAATCTTCAAAGAAACATCAGGCTACTTTTTTCAGTTTCATATATTGGATAATACTTTTCAATGATCATTAATTGATCACAAGGTATCACGTTCCAACAGCCAATTGATTAGTCTTTTTTTATTAAGTAACTGAGCAGGTTAAAGACAACATACCTGTATATGTGGTTGAACTATACTACGTACACGACATTGGAATGATGCAGTACCACCATATTCTACACTAGTATTCATAGGATGTGGAGCAATTAATACTGGCTTGGTATTGATTTTCTCTGCAAAAAATAACAAGAAAATGAATTGACTTTGATGTAAAGTCTGCTGATTTTTTTTTTCTGGTGCCTTATTGTTCAAGAGTTTTTTGACCAATGTGTTAGATGAAGCATCTTCTTTGAAAAGTGATATTATTACAGTTGCAGTTGCTATGATTGGGTATACAAACTAAGTGTTTTATAATAGGGAATTTATTTTCTATAATTCACCATCCAAAGCTCTGTCGATTTTACATTGAAAGATATGATTGAAGAAAACACTATTCTGAAGTTTGCAGAAGTTGACTTACCAATAACCTCTAGAGTATAAGTATGGTTTATTTCTCCCAATCTGTTGCTAACTCTGCATGTATATTGTCCACTATCAGTTTCTTTTACATTCTGTAACTTTAAAATCCATTGTGGATGTTTGGAGGGATCTTCATCTATTTCTAATAAATGGTTATTGAGATACCAAGCTACATGAGGTCTGGGGTTTCCTTCAGCTCGGCATTTTAACCTGACACTACTACCGACTGGCTTCACAATATGATCTTTCTTTGGTAATTCAGTGAAGGTGGGTGCAGCTGAAATATATAACAATATACAAGTTGAAAAGTTTATCAACAATTGATTCCAGGTGCTATACTGTCCTTGACCTTATTCAGCACAGTTTCTTCTGCTAGACATTCGAGCAGCCAAGGTAGGTTAAGGTAAAATCTCAGATGGCTATAAAAGCAATATAATTGTGTAATACCTGTCAATTAAGGGGCATAAACGCTTCCTACCAAATATTTCCACATATTGACATGAAGCCAAGATATGTACTATCCATCAAACTTACAACAAAAATTCACCAATTCAAAATGGTCACAGGGTTGATACAATATTTAAAATCAAAAAAGAAAATAATTACCTCCTGCTTTTCTTAAATCTTCATCAGGTGATTGACTGTATAGAGAATCATCTTGTTTTACTAGACCTTTCTCATCATCTGTAATTATACAATATACACCATGAATAACATGAAATACAACTATGAATCAATGGAATTCTGATAATCTAAATCTATTTTATATTACAATGAACAGCAGTGATAATCCAAATCTATCTTATGTTGTATTCAGATCAAATCAACAGTAAAGATATTACACATTGAAGTTAAATTGCAACTTTTATATTATTTCTTGTATGTGTATTTATATGAAATAAATATATCTAAAGTATGTATAACCATACAAATAATCTGAGATATACTACAGGCTATAATATAAATTGTTTATACAGCATAGAATGAAATGAGTATTTGATTGAATTAATAGATGATTCACAGATAGTGACAAATTCTAGCATGTGACCATTAATTATCTCTTCTTAGTTCTACAGTAATGTACAGTAGTGTACAGTAATGTCGTGTAGAGTCTAACCTTCTACAATTGTCGTGTTCACGTTATTATGTGTTTAAATACAAAACCGTATCAAATTCACGTTATTATCAATAACTAGCTAATACACGAGTGAGTCACATTTCCTTCTTGCCCTCGGCATTATTGATGTCATGTCCCTTTCAATTTGACCAATCAGTCGGTCAGTAATCAATAATGACTAGAATGGTCAGAGATTTAGTCCATCATAGAGTATATTAGTAGTAAACATATTGTTTGTATCAATATACAGGATAAATCAATAAGTATATTAGATATATAGGTAGATATACAGAGCCAATATCAGATTCTACAGGGCCAATATCAATTCTATATTAAATAGATAATCATCTGGAATTAACTTTTTATCTTCTCTAATATCCAATAGACTATTAGTGGTCTCAATGGAGATTTAATAAAGTAGATTTAGTTATTTATGTGAAAATAATTTTTTATCAACATCTAAATCACTGACAGTTGTAAATATTGCCACGGCATGTACCTTGCTAGTGTCTTACATTACATAAAGATATATGAATGCATTAAAGCAAGGTTGATGCAGTTAATTTCTAACTATCAATGAAATTGTATTTTCTGTTATAGAAAAGAAGTAAACCTAAATCTGTGAACAATACAAAAATTCAGTGTCAAGATCAAAATCTTAGTCCTACTTAAACATTGAGGATAAAACTAGGTCACATTTTGTATTGTGCCATGTCCACATTTCCTGTAGATTTAGAACAGAGGAAATCCTCTATTTACATCATGAATATTAGATTTTATTTGTTTCAATCTTTTACTATATATTTCTCTAATTTTTTCAAGAAAAAAAATCTATCACATATTTTATTTTTTAAATTATTCATTTAGATTTTATTTTTTCTTTGAATCAATGTTTCTTAATATTCTATGAAATCTAGCTTCCAGTGTGTACATCCATCACCCATTTTGTTTCACAACTAAATTATACACTTACATATTTAGATAAGATAAAATGAGATTTTTAAATTCAGTACAAGTCTAATAATATGTTTTGTATGGAGTATGAAATGAGATTTGAAAAGTCAGTATATTGTATAAGAAAGGTATTAGAATTGAAAGGTAATATAAAGAAGTATATTATTAAGGTGTATAAGAAAAGCTGTATTCATGCTTTATTTGCTCAATATAAGATAGCTGTAGGCCTATACAGTCAGGTCTCTCACCTACTCAATACCTTCACTTTATTAATATATAGTTAACATTTTATATATCCTTCTACCTTTTGTTACCTTTAATAATTCAGGACTAAGGCTTTGAGGTATTTCTCTTACTTTGATCATAAAGCTTGACGTGATCCCAACACGACAACAAGTTTTTAACAACGTAGCAATTGTATCATGGATTAGCCAATCAGATATTTTCATTCATGGTCTTTTTTAAATAAATCATAATTATTAAATCTTTCTTCAAACTTCAATACCAAAATCAATACCATGAAATTTATTCAGCTTGATCTACTCTTTAACGATGTTTATTTTATTTAATATATTAATTAAGAAACTTTTAAAAACTCATCTTTGACAGTTTTAATTAGAATTTAACACATTAGAGATAACTAGGTCTTATTATTATCTTATAATAATATTTATTTAACCTACCAAACAATTAGAAATAAACTAGTTATAATGATTGAAGGCAAAGATGCTAAAGAATTGTAAGGGTGGGGTAGAATTGTTACTTATTGGATTTGAAATGTTTAACACCAAGCCTTTTTTCTATTTCTAATTGGGAGGAGTAAATGTCTGAGTTTTCAAGTTTTGAATATGCAGTGGTGTCACAATTTGCACTCATATTTGATATATAAATACATTAGTTAAATTAAAAGACAAGACCATGCATGCCAAGTGGAACATAATATAAACTATATCCATTAATGAAATCTAGTAAGAGTGTTTTAAAAATGAGTTTAGTTATTAAAAATACTAAGAACAAATTTTGACAAATTGTTGCTAAAATAAGTAGATGAGTAACAAATTGCTCATAGAATAAATTGCTGGTTAATGAAGAAAATATAAATATGTAGTATTTTATGAAATGTTTATATTTTCTGTATTAGCTATCAATCATGATGTTAAGTACAAGTTTTTTAAGCGTTATTAGTTAAGTGGATGGTTTGTAAGTAAATATTGAGACCAGTGTTAACACCAGATGGTTTGCTAGAACTCAGTAATTGTGAACAGCTGTTTTAACTATTTCTACAGATCACATTTCTAACAGAATGGAACTGTAAAAGGTTCTACTTGTTTTAATATTCAAACAACATCTACAAAAAAAGAAAAAAAACATCTCTTACTCCATATAAAGTAACTTTTACAGAACTGAAACAGCTTTATCTCAATGCTATATTAAATTGTGAATAACAGCCCTGCAAAATATATTGTTACTGGAATTGTGTTGATACCCAAACTGACAGAATGAAACAAACAAAACTTGATAGAAAAATATCCATAAACCGATTGGAAACATCAGAGGTAAAAAGGAAACAACTCATTTATCAGGTAAACTGCAGAGAGAGTTGACAGTGATGATAAAGGAGGGAATTTGATTCTGTCTGATGTACTTGACTTATTTTTGTTATCACTGATGTCCAGGCAAGGTTCTGGCCAATTTACAAAACAGACCATGTACATATTACAGATATACCTTAATCAAATTAAGTCTGAACACAACTTATGTTACTATTTACTTCATCTAATTTTTGCAACTTCGCTGCACAATTCATTCTTTCAAGTTCCCTTTATTGCCTACTTTTACAAGTCTAATAAAGTTTAAATGCTGCCAAGACTAGAATAAAACAATTAGCAATTTAAATTCACCAAAAATATTATTTTTCATCTAAAACCCTTGTGAAATTACAGATGTAAAGCTAAGAGTTTGTGTTGATTCTAATTTCATGTGTCTGAATCCTTAATTTTGATTTTTAAAAAGATTTGAGAAACCATTATCCAATAATAACTGAGTGTTAAAATTGACATTACATGATTTCCACGCTTCATTTTCTATCTGAATTTCTTCAATTCCTGTTAATGCTTTAATGATACAATAACATCCTTTCTGTCTTCAATCCATTTCATACAATAACTCGCATTTCAACCATTAGTCATTAAAAAATCAAACTCCCATTTTCACATGTCAATAACAGTTTTTTTCTCAGAACCATGAAAAAATAACTAGTAACAAAAAACAAACTAAAATCTGACAAATTGTAATTTGACTAATTTCTAAATATCAATCTTTAATATTTTAAAATTCTCCCTAAAGCACATGAAAATAGAGAATAAATTCTGTAAAATTCTCGAAGCAGAACGTTTGAATTGAAATGAAATGGAAGTGATATAAAGACAGTTGTTGAGACGAAGGGGAAACATTAGAAATAACTCTGATGACTTGAATGGACCACTGACGTCTGTTTACATAGTTACTCTTGAATAAATTTGGCAGAAATGAGATTTTCATTGACTTTGGGAGTCTATTGTATAACTATCAGAATAGTTGTTATGGAGGAAAGACATGGCCTATTTCTATACATGTCACATATTCAGTCAGATTTTATTCACATGTGTATGTTGATGTTGCTGCTCTGCTCTAGATGAACTATACAAATGATATTGTGACACCATGTAAAATGAGAACCGTCATCTATTGTTACTGTCTAATTGGCTTGGTATGTGTACAATAGTACTATAAACATAGGAAACCTCAGGCCACCATTTTAAATTTCCTTTTTTCAATAGACTAAAGGAGAATTGACAATGATCACTAAATTAAAAGTTTGTTTGGACAGCCGTAAAACCCTGACCATTGTCCAATGTATAGGTTTATTCAGGGTCCAAGTACTTACTAGAAAGAGATCAGGTGCATTACAATCAGATAGGAAAGTGGCTAAGACAAAATTTATGTGAGAAACAACATCGGTACCTTAATTAGACTGCATGTTTCTACATACAATTGATTCATGATATAAAATATTTTTTTATAAGGAAATGTAACCTTAGTTCAGCTCATGGAAAATTGAAAGCATAATTCTTTGTATCAAAAGCTACAGACTTTTTCATGATCTAAGCCTTTGTCTTTTCTATTCATATAATTATTTCTCAGAGTCTCACCCACACAATAATTTAAATCCTGTAGAAATGATGAAGGGAATCTAGGTGGTGGAATGGAAATAATAGATAGATAGATGTTGATGGTCTAGAATGTAAAATGAAATCTAAGAGATGTAATATCATTGTTTTAAAGTTGTTTACCAGTCAGGGGTTGTTATATTACAATGAAATAGGAGAGAAAGTAGGTACAGATAGATACATAGATAACCTTTTCTATCATTATCATGTCTCTATATCAAATTAATAATATGTTTCAATAAAGAGATGTTCCTATTTACTTAAAAACAATAATGGTCAAAATGTTATCTAAATTAACACTCATCTAATGTCAATCCTCTGGTTACCATTTAAAATAAATGGTCATTTTCAGTTCTAATATGAACAAAAATCATGCAATATTTCAATTTTTCACTAATGAAAACGTAATCTCTTTCAGAGTCCTATATCGTTTTGTTAAATTTTTTTTCATGATAGAATGTTAAATCAAACACCTGCTAAATATATTTGTAAAACTTGTTTGATAAATGAATTTTAAATTTCAATGAGTCATTCCATTATCAAGATTTCAGTTGTTACAATTGCCAAATGATTTTCTAACAATTCCTTTGTTCTTCATGTATTTAAACATTTTAGATTCTTCAAGAATTTAAATAAATGTAATTTATGTTGAAGACAATGGTTGTATTGTTGTGGATAAGAATTAAAGTGTTGTATTTGGTTGTATTTTATCTTACATTGAATGATGAAGAAGTCAAGTTTCCCAGGTTCAATGACAAATATGATAACCTTTTTATAACTATAGGTTATCAGAACCTTATCTGTATTGTCTTACTAAACCTAGATAACACACATCCTATATTACTTCAATTATTATCTATTTTATATACCAGCTAGTTTTACCAACAGTAATACAGGGATGCTGCAAAAACTAGGCTAACCCTTAAAAAACAAGCCTACCAAACCGTCTTATGGTAGGCTAGGATTCTGGTTAAAATAGATGCACATTTTAAAGTTAAGAAGCTAAAATTCATTGCTGATATAATTTAGATAACCTACATTCAATCTTTATTCCAATCTCATGCTTTCTTTCTTTACAACACACTATATATTTCTTGCAGTATTGTGTATCATGAATGGGACTGCAAAAAGTCACAACCCTAATTTCTATAGAATAATAGCATGCTTGTATCACTAACAGTATTAAACTTCAGAATTGTTTTTACAAGGAAATGTGAAATGCACTAAATGCAGAATATACAAGTCTATGTTTTTGCAGTTGTCTCTTCCATTCATATAATAAATATTACTACAGCCGGTTACAAAGCTGTAAAATAATCTGAACTATTCTACCAATTCAAACCAAAAACAAGGGTCAACTATTGTAAAGCTGATCTGAATTGTTTGCAAGTTTGAATGTAAATCTGAATGCCCTGGGGGGCAAGGATCTCCTCAAGTTTCCCCTCAAGAGTTGTTTGTAAATGTTTATACTAGAGACTAAAACAGCTGTACAAACTACACTTGAAAACTTTCATAACAGATCTTATATAATACCACCTCTACTTATTGATCAATTTACTCAGGTCATAGGTCAAATCATTTACTCTATTCCGACTTATTACCATATTTAATTTGCTTTCATCTTGAGAAACATCAAAGGAATTGAACCTGAACAGAAGGCACTACATCAGATTTAGTAGAAGGTATATGTTTGATGTCTGAATCTTATGTTAGATTATCCTTGATCAATCATGATTGAATCATGTCTAAGTTTTTCAAAACATGACAAAGAGTTTCATTCAATTTCTCTGTTCAGCATTCTACCAACAACTGATGGAATATTGCACTTGAAATATAACCAAGTAAATGGAATTGCAGACTGACATAAAAATAATTCAGAAAGCAGAGAACATCAGCAAATACAGAAGCAAAGCATTCCAGAAAGAATTGACCAATATTAAACCTGAAGTACTAGGTATAATCAATGAGGTATTGGACAGTAGATAGCCAGTAGAAAGTTTGGTCAGTGAGGGGAGATCAATAGAAACACATGTTACAATTCCCACTTTAGTCTTTATCAATATCTACATTTTTAACTTCAAATCTAACCTTTCTATGGTCAAAAGGTATATATATATATACCTGGTATTAAATATTCTATAAGGTTGCCATTCAATATAATATCCTATCTTTGTTTTCTTGATGAGATGTTAAATTCTTTTCAGCTTTACAAAAGTTAACTGTTAGTGTGTAAAATCTAAACCTTTGGAACAGTAATGCCCTTGAATGCGTAAAGTTATATTTTGATGTTTTCAATCCATGAAAGTTATTATAATAACCTAGCTTCGAGGTTAGTTTATATCATATATAACCTTCTTCCAGCCAAACTGGTAATATAACAAAATGTTATACCTGATTTATGTGTAAATACTCAATAATAGCATATCAATTGTTCTTAGCTATTCAACCTTGTTCAACAATTTCAAGACTACAAATTCAAAGCTTTTGGTAGTTTCCAGAACTCTGATTGAAATAGAAATTTAGAAGTTGAAACTTATGATCAGAGTAAACATAACCAACTCAACTACCTAGCAAATATCAGAAGTTCTATCAAATAGTTAGATTTTAAATGATAAGTGCCAAGAGGCTCAATGAAACATTTTCTCATAAAGTTAACAACTTTTCATATAAAAACTACATATGATATATTTTTCTCATACAAAAGTCAATTGTTTTGAAGTGAAATATACAACTGTAAGAAAGATGAACGATGACACAGTTTGAACCAAGGTGGAGTTCCAACACATTTAACTTTAAACACAATCCTATCAAAATAAACAGAAATCAATTCCAGAAACCATGAGGCAATTTCTGATGTTATAAAGTAGAAAATGTGCTAACCATGTTCTAATTGTTCTTCTGAAGAAACATTCTACATTTAGAAAATGGGATAAAATTCTTGATTGAAAACATTTTTATTCTGGATAAATACTTTCCATATTGGAAACTTGATCAAAAATCAACTGACAAGTAACCATAAAAAACAACTAGTCTAGTACTGCTCAGTCAACAAGGCAAACTTTGATTCTATTTTAAATATCAAAGAAAGTAAGAAGAAAGATTTTTTGATTAAAATAAGATAGTAAAGTTAAATAAATAGAAAAGTTGGTATGTAATATTGAAGATTAGACATGAAACCTATTACAATGATAATATTACATACTGTTATTCTTGGCTTCAAGCATTCCATTTTAACTTGTTTTTAATAACATAATATACATGCACTGTTTTACTGATACAATAAATTTAACAAGCTATTTCCTTTTTTATTCTTTCTACAAAATTGTGCTTGCATTCAGTTAACCCTGGTTTATCATCCTCATAGGCCAAAGTCAGTGATCATCAAATTTGCATTCAAAATATCTATACATATTTATCAACTATCTTCAGAAATTCCAGCTCTGATTTGTGTAAATTATAATGAAAATTTTCGAGTTTTAACTGATTTTAAAAAGTTGCATTACTTGATTTACTTCAGATTTATACTAAAATATGTAAGATAATTCTTGTCTTAAAGAAAACAAGCAATGAAATATTCATAATCATATAAGGTCTTGAACCCAGGTGGTTGATATGAATTAATGAATTCTGATTAAAATAGCAAATGTTACCATGTTTTTTTTAATCTATTCAATAAAAATACATGATATATATTGTTACTGTATTGTTCTTCAGTTCATGACCTTTACTAACAACAATTCTACAATCTGGTCAACATTCCACAAAACTTAAATCTTTTCTTTTTGGTTATTTATTAGTCAAAATACTTAAGCTTATTAAATTTTCAAAATTTTTTGCAACAAACAAGTTTTAAGGTCATGGATGGCAACGTTATCTCAAAAAGATCTTTGCACTTGGATTTCCAAAAAAACATTGTGAAGACCCTAGGACATCTTAGCACTAAGAGTGTTTTGAGAATTTCCAGCCAGGATGCTAAAACTGGTCCTTGTTTTCACATCTGATGGTGCTTGTTAGCTGAATTTAGCCTTATTCAAAATTTCATTTCATTCTATTCAATTCTTGTAGTTTGAGGCAATGATGCATCAAATAGGAAAAATCAACATAGTTACAATTTCTGAACAAATTTCAGAATAAATAGTCATTCTAGATCAATTATCATACAAGTTATTTTGTGAATTCTCAGACAATCGTTATGTTTCATTTTGTGTTCAATTTCCTTAAGATTTGAAAGCTCGTTAAAAGAAGACAATTTGCATGTTAATAATGGAATACAAAAGGTAACTTGATACTTGATCACATTACTCATTGCATGATTAATGGAGTAGGAGAAGACTGTAATGTTTCTACGTCTGCCAGTCCTCATTATTATTCAGTGCCAAGTCAAAATTGAGAATCCACTATTCATATCACTGACTTGATTTCATTATCAAGGAATAAATAAGCATCATGTTTGTCATGTTATTTGAAATCAACCAATCATATTGCTTGATGGTGTAACTAACTAATAGTTTTCTACGATTGGTGGAATTTAAGTTACAAGTTTAGTGGTATTTCTATGAATAAATGGATTATTTTTTTTTACGTAGAATTAATGAAGTGATAGTACAATTGACCTGATTTTGTTCGTGAAGTTTTTAGGTTTCGTGATATTTATATGAATGAACTGTGTGAGATACTGTGTGTGATATGGAAGGGTGTAATTTTACGGTCAATATAGTTCAGATAAATAACTACTTACCGACTACAATCAGAGAATAATTGATTTTAATATTTCCAAATCCATTGATAGCTTTACATTCATATGTTCCTGCATCATCCATCTCCACTTGCTTTATACGTAATTGTCCTTCTTTAGAAACTTTGAACCTAGTCCAACCATTGGGAATATTTTGTCCATTTTTCTTCCACAGCATCAATGGTAGAGGATCAGCTTCTACTGGACACAAGAGTTTTGTATTGTGACCAACTTTAGCAATATGGCGATGATTAACTTTACCAATGACTTGTGGGGGACCTGAAAAAACACAGAAAAAACATAAATTATAAAATTGGCTCGTTAACCCTTCAAGAAATTGATGTAATATGTTACAAGAGTGTATTTGCTAGTTTTTACAAGTTTTTAATGAAGTTATATTACTGGTAATAAATAACATGCCGTGGTATATCAGACTGTAGGACTACCTGCTGGGTCCAACTATCAAATCTGGCAACACTGCTTCATAAGATATCTCATGTATGTAGTTATGGTAGATTTTAAACTGGCGAGAATTCAGAGGGAATATTTATGTGTCCTATTATCTTCATGATATTTGCCCGAACATTGGTTGTTTATACCATTATGTCAAATATCAACAAATAAATGAAATAAATGAGAGAAATGGCAGAGTTCATACCAAATTCCTGAGATAAAACTTGACAATCCAAAACGTGAGTCAAATTATCCTATCACTGCAATTTATATACTTTATATATACTTTGTATATATGAAAAGTTCTTACACAACCGTTCCCTAACTTTTCAAATGAAATCAGTGACTTTTTGCTCAAATACAGACACAATAAGAATATTGAAAAAATATCAGGGCCCTGTATTCTAGAAACCTCTACAGCATTTTATCTGAATTATAACTCTCATAATACATTAACTCCCAAAGATATTTAAGAAAAGAATCTAAAAAAGGGTCAACTCAGGTCACAACCACTAATCCCTATATTACTTGTAACAGAAAAAAATGTCTAATGCTACAGCTAGTGCATTCAAGAGCAGGCTTTTCAACCCTGATGCAATGTTTGAACCATTGAAAAGAGATTTATACAACTAGTAGTATTTGAGTGTATGTTTATATCCCAGTAGAGTTAGTTAGAAGGCGAGAAGAAAAATAACTGTTGAATTATTGATAGAGAATTCTGATAGAATTTATTACTTCTTTTACTTTAGTTTCACTTTTTATATTCTACAATCAAATATTTATATAGAAAGAGATTTTGATTGATATTCTGTTATACATTATTGTGATTTTCAATTGCCAAGTTATTCTGTACAAGGCTAAGATATTTATAGGTGGTGATTTTGAGAGGTTTCCAACTGCATTTAAACCCTTGGACAAAATGTCTCAAAACTCATAATCATAAGCATGGATATTTGTAATTCAGCTTATTTTCAAAAAAACAATTTTATCAATTTCACTTCATACTCTTGTGTTTTCCATAGACTTTTAATTCTCAGATTCAAGTGCTAGAATGTTTGACTTCAACATTCTATGCTTAGTTTTCAATAATACAATTGTTATTTTTTTTACATAAAATATTGAAAAGAAGAGGTTAGTTTCATGACATATTGATGAACTGGGAAATGGAATCAACAATGGAAGACAATAGATGATGGTTTAATAGTACCCTTGATATCAACATCTGATAGTACCTGGTATTGTTACTATAAATAGTATCAAGGGACTATGTAGTACTATTCCGCCACTAGTCTGATTAATTTGATCTGTGCCTCTATCAAATCAACTACAGCTGTAGCAATGTAGAAAACGTTACGGGAGAAGTCGGAGCAGATGTAAGACAAGAGAAAAAGCCTTTGGTATGAAGAGACAAGCGTTGTTTACAAGTTAGCCATATATTCTTCTCATATGTCTGTTCATTTAAAGCAGACACAGAGTAGCGGGAGGGTGAAGAGAGGTAAAATGTTTCATGATATTGATACCTTTATTCTGATACCCTTGTCCTTTGATAAAAACTTTAAAACCAGTTTAACATTGAAATATCTGCATTTTAATTTGTCAAACATTGTCAGGTTAGGTTGCATATCAGGCTATAAAGAGCAGATTTTTTAACACAAACGACAAAAAATTCAATGAAAATGTGAATTGAATATCTTTTTTTATAAATCTTTGACAGTTGTTGCATCTACTTGTGAATGAAAGCTTTAAATAAATGTAAAATATTTCAAGAATGTTTTTCATAAACTGATAAAATTACAGTCAGTTTTTTAATTAGTTTGGAGTACGATATGCAATAAGCTGTCCACCCTGTAATTAGAACATTCATAATAATTATCTATAATTTCTCTATATTTCATCACCTATTATAACAGTTAAAGGGATATGGTATTATAATAAATATAGTTGTATGTGTACCTTACATCATGTTCAGTTGATAAAAAGAGGTTATTTTATTCTACCACATCCCTTTATAATTATCTGAAAATGTAACCTCTCAGGTCAAATTCTACATTTCATTTGCTCACTAATTGCTGTTTGCTAATTGTTATTTGGCTTAATTGGTAGAAATTATATAAGTATTTTGACATATGCCATTAATTTGTCATGTCATATGTTGTTGGCATGATAGATAACACAGTTTTTATTTCAGGTTCTAATATTCGAACAGGCTGTAATCTTAACACTCACGTTAATTTGATGAAATATATCTTGAATATCAAATCTGTTGCCTTCTGATATCTCTGATTCTATTTCTAGCATTCCTACAAATTTAGCCAATTAAACTGGTCTTGGTTTTAGGTTAGATTAAATCAGTAACATACTTCACCTATGTTCTCTGAATCACAGCAATTGTTTTCAGATCAATGTGCTTACAACTACTGATGCAACTTTCAGGCCTATTTTACTTCTTAGTAAGTTCCTTCCGAACCATGAACATTTTAATATAAAGTTTTTTAATCTATTTTATCAATAAAATGTTTGCTTAATTTCCTCACACTTGATGTGTTTTCTTTCAATTCAAACATCACTGTCAATAATTGACTGAACATCAAATTTAAATTTTAATGAGCTCAAACAACCTAACTTTCCCAAGATGCAAAATCTTATCTTGCATGCTTATCTGACTGACCCAACCAACCCGAAGATAAGAGATCCAGACTAATCTCAAGAGAGTTGTAGTTCAGACCAGGGGGTGTTCATTCCTTTGTCTGGAATCAGGAGAGGTCTGGAATTCCACAGGATGTGACAGAACAGCTGTGTCTTGTTAAAATACATATAGTGGTAGGTTCTAGGGTGTAAAATCAACATTTCAATACATTGGGTTTATTTCATTGACAGATGGTACTGTGAAGAGTGAATTGTTATTTCTTTACTACATTAACACTAAGTGGTGTAAACACACTAACTAGCACTTATTCGAACACAGTGAATTGTTAGTAAAGTAAAGTGGTTCAGCTTATTCATTAGAGCTACTTCATAAATCAACAGGAGTTAATGAACATGATTTATGGCTACAAGATGGTTTTTTAAAATACTGTGCTAAAATAACTCAGACTTATTTACAGTCTGTAAAACATGGCTAAATCTTTCACTAGTCTATCTTCTATATTTATATTAGTGGGTGGCTTATTTTCGGTTTCAAATTGTTTTCAATTATGCTATAGGACCATAGCATGTTATTGTTTTATAGAGACTTAAACACTAGGATTACAATATTCTTAATGTTGTCTACGGATTAAGTGAATTATGATTAAATGATTAAAATAGTTCAGCAGCATTAATGAACAAAATCCAAAAGAGCAGGAAAATATGTCAAAGATATGAAAATTGAAATCTGTAATCCCAGAATTACCACATAATGAAAACACATTGCCATATTTGAGCTCAATTCTTGTCTGGAAAACATAAAACATTTTGCTTTAAATCTTGAAAAAGTCTTCTAGACACCTAATAAAATTTATTTCCAAGTTAATTTAATAAAGATTTAATTTGATTTTCAACATTTTTTACTGGAAAACAGCATGTACATCAAAACCAACTTAGTTTCTGTGGCAGATTGCTGGTAGTGTGAAGTTTTTAACACTTTCCAACAGCTGTCTGTAGAATGAGTGAAATTTGACAAGCTTTTAGTGGAAACGAATTGAAAGACTAAAGAAAGCAGGAAAACATATGATGAAATATTTTGTCTCAAAATACATTATGTGAGTTTTATTCTGTCATAATTGGACAGTTGTAGATTTAAATTCAGACCAGAATTACAAGATGTTGGGAGGTGAAAAGCACATTTCCTTTTGAACTTTTTATAAACACATTTCCAGAATTGATTTTTGTCTATTCAAATTTTTGAAGTGTGAATTATCCAATGAACCAATGGCGTTTTAGAATTAAATTGATGTTGCTATGGTTACTACTAAAATTAATGACCAATTATCATGTCTTTGAACTATTTGTACTGTTGGACCACTGAATGGTCAAAAGTTTGAATTGGTCAATTATTTAGCATAATGGCTCAAGTGACTAATTTCTCTGAAGTGCAAAGTGGGCCTGAGTCACTCCTAGCTCGGCAACAGAATCAACACTGAAACATGTTCTCAATAAAACAACACCAAATATGGAAAATTCAGTCTGAATGAATAAATTTGATTCAAAACAAAGTTAATTTGCTAAATTTAATTTCATTCATGCTGTTCCCATGGATATCCATTTTATCCAAACATATAGTTTGGGTGACATTTTGGATTGTGGGTGTCGCTATGATCAAATACATGATTGAGTTCAAGCTGCAACTGACATTTATAAAATTGTTGCATTTTGAGTTTGAATTGTGAGTAATGTGTGGACGTATTTTATTGAATTTACTAGTAACATCAGATATTTGTATTGTAGCCAGCAGACAAGACAAGATCAAAGGGTCGGAGAATTGGCAACATTGTGGAAATTCTCAGTGTGAAAGTAAAGGTTCCTCCCACCTCCTTTCTAAACAGTATTGTTAGTTTGGCTAGCCACATACATTTACCATAAATACACATAAAACATACCAAAATATTCACTATTTTTTATTCTACGACCTAATTTCATTTTAGGAATTGAAAGAAAATAACTTATTTTCAAAAAAAAATTCTGACATTGCAAAATTTTTGACATATTACTGATATTTACTGTATTATTTTCATTTTGGATGAATTTAAAAATAAACTATGGTTAAATTCTAATAAAAAAATTACTCTGAAATCTGAATTGAATTGTTCAATTCCCACAGATGCACTTTTACTTGATTATCCTAACTTTGTTTCCAAATGT